ATTAATCTACCAAGATGAGAATGCTGAAAATCAAAAGATGTTGTTCTTGGAGCTGTTGATCAAGATTCAATTGCTCAAAAAGACCAAGTTGATGTTGAATAATAAATCAAATCAATCAAATCAAATCAATTACAGTTAATGCTAGAAAGATGGGCAAGGATGCAACATTCTTGCCTCGAGAGGCAATCAAGATATGGTCGTGGTCGTCCCATTCGTTTCAACAATAAAGGGGGCCTATTATAGGTTTGCGGCTTCGCGGCCTCCGCGGCCTATTCTAACGCGCGGCCTCCGGATTTTGTTATGATTTTTTGCCGCTTCAGCAAAAGATGAGTCTTGCGTCTTTCGGTGTAAATTCGCGACGGTTTACGGCTTCTATGATGCAGTTGCGGCTTCTAGCTGCAATAACGGCCTACGGCCAGGCCCTTCATACTGAAGGGTGTTGAAAAGAGCTCTAGGAGTAACGTAAAAATGGACAAGTTTCTGTCAGTTAGGACAAAAGAGAGAGAGGAAATCTAAAAAATAGTTTAGGTCACGGGAGATATATTGAAAGGCCTGAAACGCGACTATCTTGAGGATGAGCGTGATTTCTTGCGTTGCGCTTTTTTACAAAGCCGGGAAAGGCGGTAAAGATTTTTCAAGGAAAGAAAAATTTTGAATTGAATGCCCAAGAAGCGAAGATAGCGGTGAAATTAGCTTAAATCTTTAAAAGAGCTGATATGGTGAGTGGTTTTCTTGCCTTTTCCTGCCAGTTCTGCTAGTCCACCATTCCTTTTATGGGTTTTTATTTTCTCTTCGATGTACTCAGAAAAAGTTTCTTATAGAAATAAAAAATCGACATCGACATTGACTCCTCCAGTTGACTACTACACGCTTTGAAAAAGTTTAAAACTCATTTTTTTCTTGATTGTTTCTAGGCCATTACTCTCATTGCTGCTAGAGTTGCGTCATTATGATATCAAAAATTTTAATGTCGGGAGTCTTTGTTAAGAAACCTTCTAAATTTCTTATCTTCTGTCTCAAAGACATTCGTAGAAGTCAACGAAGAAAAACCTCTGATTTCCGTTAGCTGCTCTTAATTTCATTCATATTGTTACATCTCTACTTCAAGCTCGTTTCAACCGAATCTCTCTACCGTCTGGCATCACATTCCTTTTACATCATACCATGTGCTTTCTAAATAAGGTCAACGAGCTACGTTTTCGGTGCAACAAACAAAAAAGAACCAATTAAATACTAGAACATTATATACATTAACCAATGATAAAATTACAACTATAAATGTATATGAGTCAGCAAATGCGCCTCACTACCAAAGTGAGGCATTTGCGTTAATACCAGCTTAAACAATGAAAACAAAATACCAAAACAGTAACTCATACGTGATTAACCTTGTCTAAAGTCTGGAAATAAACAGAATAACCCGATTAAATAAAGTCTGGAAATAACCCGATTATTTCCAGGTAAATCCATAAGCGCTTAAATCCATAAAATAAAGTGTTAGGCATGGCAAGAAATTGGAAATTCCCAACAGTCTTGTTTTTAATTGTGCACAATTTGAAATTTTTAAAAAAAATCCTGTTGGGGAGGGCTTTAGCAACTGCTGACCGGCCCTGGTCACTCTGGTAGTGGTAGCTAGACTTGTCAATGTGTCTCTTGTTTTCAAATGCCCATGTTAATTCTGTCAAGAGATTCCCTTCCGTTCTAATGTTGTACCTAGACGCGGGAGGTATACATTATAATTTATGTTCGGTGAAGCAGGAAAAAATATTCGTTATTTGAAACTTTTATGATCGCGCTCCAGAAAATTTTATGTTAAAGATAGATTTACAAAAAGTGTTTCATTCCTAAACTCGCCGAAATTTTCTCGCTCCTCCGAAATTTCACAATTGCGACCGAAATGTTTATCCAATTATCCACCGAACGTACAAAATTTAATCAACTGAACTTTTTGAAACCAGATTTTTTGGTACTAAAAGTATTTTTATTCTTTCTGTCTAAATCTTATGACAACCATTCAATCATATTGTTGAAATTTCCTGAAAATTTTGAGTTTTGGGTTCTCTTATAAATTCAAATGTTTCTTGAATTATTGCTTTGAGTCTAAAGTTTTTTCCTTCTGATAGTCCAATTTTATCTTATTTTGAGGGGGCCTTTGGAGGAGGGGGGTACCAGAACCCGCCAACGACCGAAATGCATAAAACCGAAAATCTTGTTTCAATTCTGGAAATAAACACATAAACCCGAAACCCGTGAGATGCCAAAGCCCCCTCTTATTCGCGATCACCTTTTTAAAACCAAGCATGAAGAAGATGATGAAGCATAAGGAAAAAGTGATTCAATAGCCTAAACCTTCACAAAAGGGCCAATGTTTCTTTTTTACTATGATTTCATAAACTGTTTTTGGTAATCAGAACCGAACAGTCGAAGTTTAATTCCAATTCAATTCAAGCGAATTGAAATGCTTTGAACTAAAGCAATGTTAAAGGACAAGTGACACGCTTTTGGCGCCACATTTTTTTTCTTTTAACTTAAAGTAAAATGCTGTATGAGAGTGTTGTTGAAATATTTTTCCTTTCTGATTTCATTTTCCCACTTAAAAACCCATTTGAAATTATGGCGGGAAATGAATCACGTGACAACGTGACGTAGATTGTGATAATTTGTTATTGCTGCTACTGGTATAGAGTGCAGTATTAACGTTTACAACACGCTTTTAAACGAATACAGTTCGTCTGGACCTGTCGCGTCGTGTTTCGTAAACTCTCTATCAATTACAGGAAAATTCTGAGTTATCACAATGTACGTCATAGGGTCACGTGATAAAAAGCAAAATCGCGCCCCCTGCGCCCCCTGATTAGAATTTTTTGTTCCAAACCAGGAAAAACTTACTTCTAAAAGATGATCTATAAGTTAATGAAAAGAAAAGATAGGGTGAAAAGTGTGTCACTTGTCCTTTAAGATATCGTATGAAAATTAAATTGTGGAACATCTTCCCTTCGTTTATAGGCCACTTTGATAATTGTGTCAAGTCAGCCGCCTCGATGACTATCATCGAATCCTTTGCAAACAACCAAAAACCAAGAAAAATACATGCAAGTGACTCTGACTCTTCAACCAGACTTGTAGCAAGTTCATTTCAACTATTGTTAGGTTGGAAAAGGATGTCGATGGCGATGTGGAGCGTTCAGATGAAGAAGACAAAATGTAAACACTGTTCTTCTACATGGCACTGTTTTGTTGATATGATATTCAGTCAAGTCAAAGTATGGAATTTCAACTCAGTAACAGGAAAACGTTTTACTTTTTACGGATTGCAGTTCCCATTGAATTGAGTAATATCAGTTAAATTCACAACTATCACATCAGTTAAACTGTCAGAAGAACATGTGGTATCCAAAGAAAATCAGGCAGTCGAATCGCAACGCCCAGAATATGACAATAATTCACCAAAAAGTGAAGCCAGCAATTGTTCGAATGAAGAGGAGGATAGTGATACAATGACGGATCGAGTAGCGAGAGAGGCTATGTTCCTTGTTGGCTCGAAGTCACCGTTTGGTCGTGCAGTTAGGTTCAATGGTCGATTTATTCAGTAGAGCTAAATTGTAAGTTGTAGTTCTGTTTATCGAACTTTGACCCATTCATTACTAAAAGTTTAGCGTCTTCAAATGTTTCACGGTATGTGAAAAATACTTGGTTACAGACAAATACGAAGATTGACGCGATAGCTTGCTGTGAAACAAAGCTAGAAACTTGAGAACAGCAACTTCTAGCAATGTATCCTTTTTTCTTACTAGCGAGTAATTGGCTTTTTGTGTCTCTGGCCGTTTTGCAACGCGGCCGCGTCTTTGCGCTTTTTTTTCATTGCGGATTGCGGCTTTTGGCTGACTTTTGCACGGTTTGGCGGCTTTTGGACCCCCTATAATAGGCCCCCAATAAACATGGTAAATACTGGTTCTCCGCGGTGGGTTTGTCTGTTTGTCATGATCAGATATTCTTTGTCGAAAGAGAAAGTCATTTGAAAAGCCTTTGTGGCATTTTGAAAGTACAAATGGGGGAAGAAGTTTTGAAATCTTTTGTAGAGAGCAAGAGAAAAGAGAGAGAAAGAAACAACCTTTTTAGAAACGGCGGAACAAAGAGCACTTTCAACATCGTGTGTGCAGTTTGCTTGACAGCCAATCAGATTAGCGAAGCTATCATAATGACTCAGCAATTTTTTCAATTTGGGTATACGCCTCCTATTTATCATGCCTCAATGCCTTTAACTCGTTTTATAGCTTCTTCACAATTTTCAAGCTTTTTTCATTTGAAATTTTACCCAATGACTCTTTCAAAACCTTAAAATCTAAGTATAGATCAAAGGGTTAAAAGGTATTTTAGTCCGAATTATTGACTTTCTCTTGGCCAATGGCTCGTTTAATTTCGTTTGTTCGTTCCCTGCCGAACGGATTTGTTATTGTTTCGTAGACTAAAAATATGTATTTTTCTGTTGTGTCTTGTTTAATCACCGATGGAGGCTTATTAAATGGCAAAAATTGGATGTAAGGTTGGGGGCTTATTCAAGGGTAGGGTTTACTATTATTTATTTTGCTTCCAAGGCGGGGCTTACCGTTGGGAAGGCATTTCAAAAACTTACGGTAAATGAAAAAGGCTCTTGATGTCGTACCCTTTTGAAAATCCATGCCCATACACGAAAGAGATACTTAAAGCCTGGCTCACTCTTGTGGAGCAGAAGTAGATGTGCAAGCAAGTCGTGAGGGAACACCCGTATGTTTTGATGAATTAATTAAACTAACAGTGTTAATGCTCGATCTTCCAAATTTACGAAATCTAAAAACTTTATCATACAGCTGAATGATTATTTACGAGACAAATTATAGGGTTTTGCTGGTAATAAAACTATTTAAGTTTAAGCCCTCATACAAAATTAGAATTGACCTTTGTCAGTCGGAAATTTCGAGCCCATCTACCCCAGCCCAAAAAATATCTGCCAATTTACGTCCCTGGGTCCACGAAAAACAATAGAAGCTCCTATGACACACCCAAGCCACGCCCACTTTCTGTTGTTTTGATTGGAAGGTTTGCCTTCTAAGATGATTTTGTCTGGAGGAAGGTTAACAACTTTTTTGGACTCTGAATATTGCTTCATTTGCACCTGTTTAACTGACTCTCTTGTTGCTTAAACATTTTTCCCATCCATATTTTACTGATATTTTATATTTTCGCTTGTAGCTGCTTTCCTCTACGTATTTTGCGTTGCAGCATCAAGTATCCTAATGTTAGCAAAATTGCTAGTCGTTTTTTTCCGTTCATATAACACATCTTTTTGCTTCTTATATGTCATTCGCTTGAAGCCGATCTTGAAACTATACATCATTATAAAGATTTATTTTCCTGAGCGTGAGTGGACGGTTTACTCCACAAATTTCTTCATTATTTGCTTAGGCTTGTTTCATTTAAAAACATTCTAAGAGCACATGCCTCCTTCACTTCAGTACTTGCTTAACAAGCGTGGACCTGATTTTACAGGACATTCAGTTTTTGAATTAGGTTTTGGAAAATCGAACTAAATTGGAGCTATGGGCAGTGCTTAAACCCCTGTCTGCCCGCAATTCTGTCGAGAAATGACACATTTCTACTTCTTGCTGTTTTTTCAAGACATTTTCTCGAAGCCTCACCTAACCTTACCTTGTCCTTTGAAAAAGCAAACCCTCAGATGTAAGGCTAAAAGCATTTTAACACGTCCGTAGAGTGGAAAAGTCATGATACTGCCAAAGAAGGAAACGAAAAGATGAACTGTTGATTCATACAGCAGATAAGATTGCTTATGTTTTTTTCATAATAAAGTATTGCTAGTCCTTTACGCTTACTTTCATACTGTGATTTTAATACATTCATCTTGCATTCCAGTAGAAACGATTAGAAATGATGTTTCTATACAAATTACTTTAAAGAAGGAAACTTTTGCGGGAAGAAATTTTCGTATTTTTCGCGTTTTTGGCCTAAAATCGCGGAAGTTTGATCCGTGAAACTTCCTGAAATGAAAAATTCGCGAAAGTTTATTTATCCAGATAACCCTCTTGGAAACTTTGATGACGAATGGTTGTCTTACCGAATTTTCATATTTTTCTCGTTGTTTTGTTGGTATCTAGCGGAATAAAAATAGAAGGAAACCTCAGCTGAATGGAATATTTTACTTGCGAAATTCCTGAGTTTTACTAAAACGCCTATTTTGCTTCGTTCGCGAAAGCTAATTCCAAAAATTTCGCGCTTTTTTCACATTGCAAAACTTTCTTTCCCGCGAAACTTTCTTGACTTCAGATGTGCCAACCACATGATACCGTGTGTTCGGGTTGATAGTGAAATTCAGGTAAATGGATATGATACATAATGATTAATTATTGAAAATCTTTAAAATTCGCAAATATACATGTAAGGATTGTATGAAATTTAAATTCATACTTTTAAATTTGATAGCATCCTTGGAATTCTTGCCATAAGCAGGGACGCCGTAACAAGCCAGGGGCAAGCAGGCAGGCTGCAGGACTAGTGAATTTGAAAAATGATTCCCGGCTTCGGGCTTCTACTTATTCTTTATAACTGACATTTTTATTTCGATTCGAAAATACTTTTATACTTTCTCATACATTCATTCATTCTAGTTTCTTCCCTCTTACGTGCCTCTTTCACAGCTCCGCAACAATCCAAGCACATCATTTTCAATACACACATGTTTCTACAACAAAACACCATCAAAGTCTTTCTTCCCACCTATTCATCGCATCGTAATTACCTGCCTAGCCCATACTTTTATTGCTTTCTCCTTTGCCTGCAGTGTTAATTTTTGACCATATGCTTTTAATTTATTGGATAATAGATTGAAGCTTTAGCTGACATTCACGGTTACTCTCTTTGTCTCATGAAAATTGTTTAGACTTTCACGCTTGGAATGACGTCATAAAACAATTGACCGCAAAACCATCACAGCTGGAATCCAATATGAGTTTACTTCATAATTACGATGACTAATATCAAGGCTACTTTTGAGAAAAGTCCACTTTGTTCCCTTGCCTCACTAATCAAAGAACAAGAGGGGCACTGTCATCAGCTCTCCCCCTGCACCCCTTTCTGATGAGTCTGGTCATAAGTCTAGGTAAAGGGTTTTTTATGAAATATAAATGAACAACCCCGTCCACATCACACTTTGCGCTTTTGCTGTTTACTATGGAGAGTTTGCAAAGATTTGTATTTCATGGTGAAAACGCTTGCTGGACTTGCTTCAATCTTTGCCAGTACAACTGTTCACCAAACAACCATACTCACATGTTATTAACTTTTATTACAACAATTCCAATAATTCAACAAAATTATCCCACGGAAGCTGGCTAATGAAATGTAAGATTATTTCAATGCCACAACATGGCAACATTATTCAATTCCAATAACGTTCTCGTTGCCTCAATCGAATATTTTCAGAATTGATTTTACTTCGCTGGGATTTGGCGCCATTATATTGCTAACTTTTTCCATATTTGGTCCTTAAATCTTCAGCGCTGTTATAGCCACGTGGTTTGACATGTGCTGTAGATTCTGTGGGTCCAGGGCTACTTTTAACAGAGCTGGTGCCCTCACGGCTTCCAATTTTAGGCAACCGACCAGCAGCCGCTGTTCTTCTTACAGGGCCTTTGCTTGGGTCTAAAATTCTCTGGTTGTCTGGTATTCCGTAATATCTATGAAATCAAGTATGATTAAAACTATTTTCCCTACAAAAACAATATCACTGAAAAATAACATTCGTTAATATAAACTGTTGATCAAAAATTCATCATTTCAAGTTATATAAATTCAAGTTAGCTTGTAGCCTAAGAAGCACTTGAAAGACAAATAACGAGACCAAAGAAGACTATAAGAATAGAGGATACAGTTAGAAAAAAGAAATTTTGATGAAAAGTTCAAAACCTAACCTTGTCTTTGAAGGAATTTTTGAATAAACAGGAAATTTTGTTTTAATGTCCTTCAACGCATTATTCTAGAAAAGAATAGATAAATGCATTAAAAAGGCTAACAGTCAACAAGCAACAGCATCAGCACCATCAAATTGGTACAAACGATTGAAAGAATGCATAAATAAGTGAACAAATGATTGAATGAACGAGCTAATTTATTAATATGAATAATGAAGTCAATTAATATGAATGTCCCAGTTAATTATTCGTATTCCGAAAAAATAAACTGAAAAACTTCGAAAAATACCCGTTTGCGAGTTCCAAAGCATTCTTATACAATTTTGCTCGAATTACTAAAACATTCTGTGCAGTTTTATAAAAATTCTGGAATATTAAACCTATTTGATAGCAATGGGTACCTTTGAGCTTAATTACTGTAATGAGCATCTTAGTTTCAATTCAATGGTGAAAACACAGTAAAATTAATACTCTAAATAAGAAAAATACAAACTTGCGGCCTAGGCTTAATTTCCTTTAGCTTTTCTTTTCTATTGTCCTTCCTGTTCTGGATCTAGAAGATCGTGATTACAGAGAGTTAAATTGCTGATGATAATTATATATTTTTGGCGCTCATAAGCACAACATAATAGGAGCAAAAAAGAAAATTCGACCAAAATGAAAATTGGCTGTTGCTGCCTAGGATATGCAGCACCCTTAAATCTAGGAATAAATCACAATTCATCAAACAACACAATTACTCTTTGCGTCTAAAGCTAAGGCATTTAGCCATCTATCAAAAGCTTTAGTCCATAGAATGGATACATTACTTTCTTTGGATACAAAATAGTAGAAATAATGATAAAAACAGCTTTGCAGGTTAAACGTGGAAAAGGTGGTCAGTTGGTAATAAGATGACGTTCTGAGATGAGCATGCACAGTACCTCGTTTGTTGTTGCTTTGTATTCTTGAATTTCTTCGTAAATTTTGTACCGACTCTGAGTGACAAAAACAAATATCAAATCAAATACAAGATTTGGCAATCAAGGGCTCTATGAACAAAAACAGAAAGCGCGTCTCACAAAATACAAAATACTAAATCTAGAAGGAACTATGAAAAGATACTCTTGATAGAAATTGTTAAAAAAGTTTGGTGACATTGAAAGACAAGAATGTTTAAAAATTAGTGTGTCCAGCAAACTATGCAAACATTACTAGTGGGACAAAATCTTCATCACATCTGCACTAATAACAGGTGGGTACTTTTCGAACCTTTAAATGGGATGTAAAGAGGCGCAAAAGTTTGGAAAAAAGAAACAGAGGGTGCTGTCACGGTACCTTGGCTTCTGTGTCCAGCTGCCATTCAAGGTCTTTAAGATTTCCATCTAATTCGTGTTTTTCTCTCTCGAGCTGTTTTATGAGTCTTTTAAGTTCAATCTACACAAAAAATGAAGGTAACATATATTGATATTACCAAAGTTTCATAAACAAATTTTAACCTATGACCTGATAATGTGCTCTTTACTACAAAGATGAGTGCTGATTTATACTCTATCCAACAACACAACGCTGATTATCTCCATTAATCGTGCTTCTCAATTGAGAAAGGATTTAACACGTTGGTCTTATTTCACAACCCTTTAGACTTCTATATCCAACGGCTGTACACTCGAGGGTAAAATGATCTTGATGTTTTGTCTCTGTCTTCTCTTTGCTTATTTGAGCATAGAAATATGTCTATCAGGATGCTGCCAACATTCGAATTTTTATAAATTTCCATACAAATAATCCTGCCTCTTAACTGGGCCTCAGTATTACGATATAAGCAATAATATGGATTTCATTCAATAAAATTCTAGCAGTTACATAAGGGGAACTCTTAAGAGATACATATGGGGAACTCATGAAATTTTGAGGAAGTTACACATGTTTTTAAGTGAAATCATAAATGATAAGGCTAATCGCAACGAAAGGCAACGAAAACAACTTACACCGAAAAAACCTTTCAAGGGTATTTGAAAATATTGGTAACAGTTTTATAAAAGGTTCATAACTTTCATGTTTGCCCTTTTTTATCGAAGCTCAAAGTTCTAAAATTCAAGAGTATGTTATTTCAGTATGAAATAAACATTATGAAATGAAAACAAAATTTTCACCACTTTCTAAAAAAGTTTCATTTGCTACTAAAATCTATTTGACGTGTCTCAGTGAAACTTGTATTACCTCATTCATCTGATCCAGTTCTGATGTTTGGACATTGTTACCTAGCAAAAACAAACAGAGGATTAGAAACATTGTTACAGAGGATTAGAAACACATATACATTACAGATTGTGATACCAATCTTGATTAGACATGGATGTGACAAACTCAGAATGCTGAATTTTCACATTTCTAACATTGCCCACTGACACCATTTGGTGGAGGCCTACTACTTGAAGACTTCTTCCCAGTTGATGGTTATGACAGAAAATGAAACCTTTTGGTATTTGGCATCCAGTGTGGGCTTACCTGTATATCTGATGTGCTTTAAAGTTATTGAATGAACAAAGGACGCAATACTTGATAAAAATGATACATCCATAAAAAAGACTGCCTTAAATCAAATGCTAGGGTGTGCAAAGAATCTACTGGTAAAATACATCTGGAGGTGAATGTTAGGCTGTTACTGACCCACTCTGATGCAAAAGCAGGAACATAATTGAAAGGAAAGACATATCAGACAAAAAAGTTGCCTACTGAAAAAACAGCCCAGGATGGCCGACCTTATGAATTACAGAGGTCAAAGCGAAACCGAGAAGTTGAATTTATGAGAATGTTGAATTTGTAGAAATGAGAGTATGACCCAAAAAGATTAAAACCAAAAAGACCAAAAAGAATACTTTATTAAATACTTAATTAGAATGTTCTATGTTAAAAGCTACAGGGGATCAAGCAAAGACTTGATGTGAAACACTCAACAATCAAAATGGGACTGATGTCTCATTAATGTAGATGATATGAATTCTCATGTTGGTACAGACTTAAATTATGATGGGATCTGGTTTCCAATTAGGGAAGAGAAACAAGGCTTCACAAGTTGGTACTACTTGAAACACACATTAACCGGGAAAATTATGTCTGAAAAAATTTCAGACAAATATTTTGATGAAATTTTCTTCGAATAAATTTAAGATATGACAAAAATTTTCAAAGACGATATTTTTTCCTTTAAGATTTTTGAGGATCCAAAATATTGAAATTAACATATGGGAACAAATTTTAATTTGTGCATTCTTATGATCTAGTCAATGCAAATAACTTTTTGATGTCATAATAGAACAAATAGTAATCATCATCATCATAGTCTCTACCATGCTGATAGAGAGCAAAGGCCCTTGATTTTTCTGAAATACTGTTTTGCATTAAAGGCCCCCAAGCCCCAATTGAAAGTGATAACCATAGGATTGACTATTCAGAACATAATATAGTCTTTTAGAGTATTGGTAGTATGCTTTTATTCCTAATATTAAAACTAATAGGACTTAACTTTTTGTGGTTAATGTACACCGATTCAAAATGACGAAAATCATTCCATTAAATAAGCACTAATAACTCAGTTATAAGGTGTCAAATAAAATTTGACTCACCACGCTCAAGTTCTCCTTTCAGCTCTTTCATTTTGTCCTTAAGCATCAATATTTGCTTCTCTAAATTTTTGTTCATTTCAACTTGTTCGTTATATCTTTCTTTCCATTCTTCCTCTGAAAAGTAAATACATTTACCATAAAATTTATCTTTCATATTTCATTAATTATTTTCAAAGATATGACGAGAGTAGATCTATTCATTTTTAGACAATGCAAAAATCATCTTTTAAGAGTCAAACTTGAACCAAAAAACTGGAGTTGTGCAGATGCAGTTTATAGTTTATGAGAGAAATAAAAAAAAGATAAAATTTCAATTACCTCCATTGTTCTCTTCTAGCAATTCTAATTCATCAACTAATTCATTTGCTGTTTTTGTCAAATCAGCAATAGATTGTTCAAGCATCTCCCTTTGTGAAAAATGATAAATTTGAAAAAATATTTGGCTAAAAGAGAATATGTGAATGTGAATGTATAAGCAAAAAAGGATTTTGTAATGTGAATAAACAGACAGCCATGCTCAATCTATCTCAACCTAATCAGATTATTCATCTAATTTTGCATCTTCATCATTTAAAATTTGTAATATGCCACAAGCAACTTGGTTGTAAGAAATAAATCTCTGCATGAAAACCTTGAAAATTCCACTTGCTATTTAATATGTAGAAAAGCATTCTCAATAAATCAGACTAAAGTGCAAATTTGACATTAAAAAACCATGACTTTGTGGATTTATCATGACATAAATTCATGTCTAGCAGACTTTTTGGTTAAAGAATATTCTTAAGGCCGGTTTACAATATAATATTTCCATCGTATTTGATCATAATTCCATCATAGAAATTTGTAATGTAAACATTCTAATATTTCTTGGATAGGTGATTAAAATGGATTGATCATATTTCCATCATATAGATTTTCTTCTGACTACCGGTCAGAAAAATTGCACAGACTTGAACGGAATGTCCTAAAGCCCAGTAGCTGTGACTATATGGTCATGTTTCTCAGGTGTAGAATCCATGTTGGTTACACCAGAGATATCCAGTGTGGACTTAAGCTTTTCTCATTTTTATTGTTTATTGGCATGTATCTGGAGGGAGCCTTAAATTTGATTATGTCCTGCATGTTTCTATCGCACAGTGCCCTTAAACCTGCATAACTCCAATAGACTACCCCTAAAGCCAAAAAATTAACCTTCATAGCTTTCTCAAGGCAGGCAAGTTTAGTGTTAAGATGTAACAAAAACTGAATACTTTTAAAAGAAATACAATAAATTTTTAACTGTTCAGTTAAATCTTGGTCAGGGGGTCATAAGAAATAGAGGAGGATAGCGGCTCCCCCTTCCTATCGTTAGTGAATCCATCTGAAAACTTCCAAAACTCACTCTTTCCTGGCTGATTCTATTGAAAAGACATGACAAAAGATTTAATTTCAATTTCAAGGAGGCTGGTAGAATAGCTACCCACTGCCTTGGCATTTCAATGAAATTCTTTACAAGTCACTAGTAATTCACACAAAGCTATTGTAGAATCTTTACAAAACCTGCCTGTACTTTAGGTTTACCTGCTCACCTGTTTTTCTAATCAATGTTACTGCAAATATTTTTAACTTCAATATTTCTTGTAAAAGCAGTATTGGTAACCAATACTCGGTTCTAACTTAGTAATTTACTTATACCTAAAAGTAATGGTCTTATTCTACTTGTTTAAGTGAATCAAACAAAATTTATTTATCTGACCTATGGCAACATCCTAAGATGCGTAAGGTGAGCGAGTGAATTTTTGCAAAGTCAAGAAGTTTGGCATTATTTTGGTATATTCGAAGATCATTTTGAGATATGAAAAATATTGAGGGGGGGAATTCTTATAATTTGATCTTCCAGGTAACTCAAAAGTCCCGCCCGACGGAATACACCCCTCCTTCTACTGCCTTGAAAACTGTTTTTTTCTCCCAGTTAGTGTTTGAAAGAAATCTTACATACACAAACATTCCTAACGTACTTAGCCTGCTCCTCTTGATTGATTTCTCCTTTGAGTCTTTCGATTTCTGCGTCCATGTTTACCACGAATTTCACCACGATCATTCGCGATCAAAGAGCACGTTCGATATTGTGTTGTTTGTTGTGTTGCTGTTGTCATGAAGGTGTAAATACTCGAAGTAACACGAATGGGAAAGGCGAAAGTGGTCTTAGCAGTGAGGCGCTACCCCTCTATGAAAACAGTCTAGGGTCCTTATATATTCTTAATTGCTTGTGTTTTGCTATTCATTCATTACAAATCTCTAACAACAAAGTCGCCAAGCTAGAAGCTTCTATTTTTAGCAATCTTTGAACCAAAGGCTTAAATGCCCAGAGTCAAATAATGGCTCTAAGAAAACCCATTTCACAAATACACAGCCATTTTAGTCTTTTAGGTATGTGAAAATTCTCGGTTGTGTATAATTATTGTTTTACCTCAGTTGTCTATTCTGCTTTATTTACAACCTTTTCGTTTTACCAGTTCTTGAATGAATGGAGGATAGAAGGCGGTGTAGGTATCTCATTTGCAAGGTTAACTCGGTGAAAACAGGGGAATGCTCCACGAGGGCACAAACGATACAAAAAGTTCGATATCATCTGGCCTTGCACCATGAAATGATTGTTATGAAGAAAAATAGCCAGACAGTGTTTTTAAGGTGTGTTAACTACGATAAGGATAACAAAGGCATTTTATTGTGAAAATACTGTGGTTAATAATCTTTTAGAGTCATTGAGTGCGCACTAAGTGAAGGCCATGACCTTGGCTCTCCTACAAAACTTCCTCTAAAGCTTGTGAAGAGATGCAAGGTACCGAGGAGTATTCAAGGTTACGCAGAGGAAACTAGTACAGTCGCTCGATAGAGCCCCTTCAATTGAACCCATTTTGGGGATGAGAATTCAAATAATCGCATCAAAAATAGCTGCCTTCACATTTTATTGATATCTGTTATTTCTTGAAATATTTAGGTACTCGTATTTTGGTACTTGTAATTTTGGTATCATTAATTAGGACTCCGTTTGATTTTAGCTACTCATCGGTAAGATCAAAATAACTTGGTCAATGGTCAATTTTCCATATTTCCACATCTTTTCCCGAATATTACCGATTTCTTTCCCCAGAACAATGTTGATAATTTAGAAACTCATAATTCAAGTCACAGGAAAACTTACCCCCTAATTTTCTCCTTTGTTTTATCGTACCAACATTGTTCCAAGGGGGAGAGGAGGTGGTTGAATTTGTTCTTGAAAACCGAAGTTAGTATTCTAAGACTTTTGGGAAACGATGTTGATACCAAAATAGTTATTAGCACTAGGGTCAGATTTTGAGGCTCTGAAGAAAGTGTAGAAAATGTTGGCAATAAAACAATGAAACATGTGAAGAGTAGTGAATTTCACCAATAAAACAAAAAACCTGCGATACGAAGAACTTCATAAATCATTTTATATAACGGAAATTCCAAAATTTCAAAACCTTACTTGCTAGTAGATATACTTGATCAGTCTTGCATCTCTCTATTTATATTTTTAAACTATAAAACAGCCAACTACCCGACAGGTCTCTCAAAACTTCTACATTCTAATCGATTCCCTGACAGGTGTAAGTTGTATCCTGTTGCATCTGCATTTAAGACTGCATAGAAGATGACCACTGAAATTACAGCAGAAGCAGTCGTCTAATTCTAAGTTACATTGTCTCAATCCATCTACGCCATAGCACACATCGACAAAATGACAGCCACCAAGAATGAAATTTTTTACAATTACATTGTTATCTCGAACATAATATTAAATAACTAAATGGAATTTAAAACAGCTTTCATTTAGATTAGCACTACAACTTCACAGAATAATTGATCCCATACAGAACCTTTTACACTCAAAATACCACCATCTATCTACATGCAGACCAGAAAAGTCTTTGTATTACTGGTTGCTACAATTTTTTATCCATCATAGATGCCAGTTGTTATCTTTTTCGTCTTTTTTCAACTAAATTCTTCAGAAAATATTCACCTTAAAGAAAACAAACGATTCATTGTCAAAATCAGCGTCTTTCTCTTATATCAAAACGTTGATAGCAAGGACAGCTACTTCTGTAAAACCATGATACAACTAATGTTGATTTTTTGTTAATTTCTTAGTATGAAGGGCAACTTGCTGCTGTAAGCCGACTGCCCGTTAATGAGTTAAATAGCCTTTCTGATTTTTTAAGTTTTCATTACAGAAGTAGCAACGGAAGTGGCAACGGAATTGGCAACGGAAGTAGCACATGCATGATTGAGTAAGATGCATGGTCGAGGATTTTAGGATAGTCAAGGAGCTGATGCCAAAACTTTCTTTGTCGTCTTCAAATGCATTCAAGCCTAATTATCTCCCTTTTCACAACAGGCAGTCCCTTAGTTGCCCTCTACCCTTTCTAGCCATAATAAAACATATTTATCCGACAATTTTAAGGATATTTGTTTGACTTTTGTTTGTTTAGCAAGAAGCAGCTTCTCGCTGACAATAGTTTTCAGATTTGCTAAATGTTATGGCAACAAGCTACTTCTTCACATTGATGACTTTCGTTATCAAAATTCGACCCACCTGCTCTGTAGGAAGACCTCACAAGCGGTCCACTGGCAGTATATGCAAAGCCAAGCTCATTCCCTACTCTCTCCCATTCTTCAAATTTTTCGGGTCTTATATACTCTTTAACCTTGAAAAAGAAAATAATCACATCGCTTTCTTGTGCTTTAGCACGAGAGATCGCCTAATCAAAGATTTAAACAAAGAGTTGAACTTCGATCATTAGCCAGACATAAAGTAACATGATGGTAAATTGCGCTGAAAATACGAAATATTAAATATCATAAAAGAAAGAGCCAAAACGACGTTTGTATATGCATCTTCTATGTGATAAATGAGGCAAAATGTTTTGTTTTTTTAAACATGACACACTTAAAAATTACTAAATTTAAAAAGTAGAAACTGTGAAATCATCCCCTTCCTTGTTTGTTTGAAAAATATTTGATAAAGATAATTGAGAGCCCCTATTTGATAAGGAGGTCCATAGCAGTTTTTTTTGTCAGCATTTGGTTATTTTTGGGACTGATTTTGAAGACATGTTTACAGGGAGGTCAAAGCAAGGATTCAAGGGAGCCGTATTTACACTGTTGTAAAACAACATGAAAAGCTGAGATAACATTTAAAAATATACTCGTTCCTTTGCATAGAGCTCGAGAAAGTGAGCGAATTCAAAACCTAAAAAATTCATAAGCACCCTGCCATGTTACACTTCTTCTCTGATGACAAAAATTTGATTGAAACCCCGAGCGTTAAATGGGAGGGGGTTTACCATATGATTTTACGTCCCTCCTTGCACTAGTGTCAATATTATAACTATTATTTTGTAGACAATGATAATTTTTTACTTTTTCAGACAACTAACCTTCAAATGACTTGTGGTCGGCTGCATATACTGTCCAATGGTAACACAGTCGACTCCAACCGATCTTAGATCTACGGAATGGTAGAACAGATAATGTCATACAAAATAAAAGAAATTATAGTGTTTACATTACGGATTTCTAGATTAGAAGATCTTAATATCGTTTCAATTACTTCACTAATAAATTTATGAATTGAGAGGGGAATGGAGATAAGATAAGAGAAAATTAATTTCCCCTCCCAGTTTCTTAGGCTCTGGTAGCTAAAGTAATTTAGTGGGTACCTGATGTGTTATTTTTAATTGGAGTCCAGATACAATTAATTAAACATTTGCTATAATAGTTACGTTGTTTGTTTTTAGGCCATACCTTTCATTGTTTCTACGACTTCTTCATCTCTCTCACCAAAGCCCACCATTATGGATGACTTTGTGACTAAGTCTGGATGCTTATTTTTGACGAAACTTAGAACGTCCATCGACTGTTTGTAATTGGCTCTAGGGTCTCGAACAAGCCTAAGAGGGAGCGTACAAAGAATTCTGATGATCGATTATCAATACAAGTATCGAGTTCTCAGCGGCAAAAGTACTGATGTAATGAAAATGGATAGGAAGTACCCCATTCAGCTGATCAATAAAACATTATGATTCAATCAAACACAACAAATCGCGAGTCACTTCACGACCAGTTTTTTCAGCGTAAGGATTAATCATATATAACATGATACTCTGAAAAAACTCAATAAAAAAACTCATCTTGATTTTGAAGGGGAATAAAGACATATTTTTCTAAGACTTTATTAGCACTTTCCATACGCATTTCCTGCGTTGCTTGAATCTTAGGAACCAAATAGCCTAAGATTCAAGCAACGTCCTCCACAGTGTCCTCCATGGTGAAATTATCTGAATTGGCTCACGATCACTTCACAGATTTTCAAGCAACAGCTTTAATGATTGATAAAATCAATTTAATTTGTCAAAAGCTACTTTTTCTATTTGCGGGCCCCTTTTTCTAATAAGGGTGTCGGTAGCCACAAGGCAGAGATGTGTCTTCGTGTTTCTTTTTCAATCATCACAGGAAAGTGGATCACTCAATACACAGGATTATGACCAGCTTTCTGGGCCGTAGGATTGAGCATAATCTTGTAATTAAAAGACTAAAATGATGACGTATACTTACCACTGGAGGCTTTTTACTGATTCTATATTGTGCGCATAAACATCTAGGCCAGAGCTTGCAACCATCTCGATTTGCTCATGGTTGCCTCGAAAGTCTGGTGTTAAACATTCCACAAGTATTGACGACGTTCTAAGGTAGGTATCAGGATAGTGAGTGAAAAATATTAAAAAATTAACGGCACTTCTATCCAAAAACTAAACTCGTGATAGGATTGTAGTCATGTATAAAGAGCTTTGACAATGCGATTAATCGTATATGGAAAATATTGAGCCCAAAATGCAAAAAGATTAGCAGAAAGTCAGCAGATAGGAAACCTAAGACACAACAAGTATAGGAAAACTGCTATCGATGAATATTATTATGATGATGGCACAACAAATGGTCACGAAATACTACATTCCAGCATTTACAATATCATGACAATTCGTTTACTAATGATATGATTTTTTATTACTTTTGTATCTTAGTTTCCAGTAGCAAAAGTTAGAAAAACATTTCCTGTTAGTTAGCTGGATAGAGCTATTTTCAACATATCAGCAAAATAGGTATAGGTATAGATACCTAAAACTGAAGCCTAATTTATTTTATGCTAACTTTGAACAAGCATCTTTGATACCGAACGCATCTTTGAACATAAATTAACGTACTCTTGTTTGATTTGTCGTACAGTTTCGGCAAAATGTGCTGCTCCACCATCCAACAAGTCTATGATAAACAAGACGTAAGAATCCAGAATATAAAACATAGTAAAATCATATTATTAAATCTGTGATACAATCACAAAATACTTAACTAAAAGAAAGTTTGGCGTTAAAGATATGCTCTGTGACCTTTTTTCTTTGTTACTATAACAAAAATTCACTGTCAGCTTTAAGTTAAAAAACATTAAGACGAAGGCACTTATAGAACAAACTTTTGTTAAAACACACCATCTCTGTCAACAGAAGTTAGAACAACATAATCAAGGTTCCAATCACGCACGGCCACAGCAGTGTTTCTAGGCTCATCGGGGTCAAGGGGCGGTGGCTTTCTGGCTGTCCTTACAGAGCAGAATCTGCATCCACGGGTGCAAGTGTCTCCCATAATCTATTGAGAAAGAATGTTGTTAAAAAAATTCCTGGTCTGATAAGAAGCAAATACTATTGCTATGCTTAGAAATAAATAAGCTTGGGGGGGGGGGGGGGGTAGAAGGCGAAAATATGTCAGTCTCTATAAATATTAGAAGGAGCAAAAGATTAAAAATATCACGCAAAATGAAGAAAAATTAGACATGACAACGCTAAATTACTATACAGAAAATAGAAGGGTAACAACATAATAAAGGAACAAGACTAGATAAAAGAATCAACATATAAAGAGCAACCTAAGATACAAGGAAGAAATTTATTCATTTTAAACTCAAAGCACAGTATACCAGAAGACGCCTGAAGAAAATGTTTGATGCTTTGATCTAGCAAAGCAATAGGAAGATAGCGTTGGATGACGATTCCACAAAGAAAGAAGAAGACAGTCTTGCCATTATTGTAGCTGTGGCTGTTCCCTCTTTGCCTCCCCAGCATTCTCCAATGTTAGGGCATTTGGCCTCTTCACAAACCTAAAGTAAAAAACAACAAAAAATCTCATGGCGTTATTATATATAATCTTACCCAGTTTCAGACAAGAACTGTATGGAACTGCTTGAAACATCTGCTTGCGAGAATATCAAATGTGACAAAATTTCAGGGAAAAAGAGAAATAAATTAAATGGGGCTGTAAAATTTAACTTAGTCTTCGTATACATCCAGTAGAAAGGGAAACAGTTGTGCAAGCGCGGAAAAAAAATTAAAAATTGCAGTTCCCTGGTACATGGCTGCAAATTTCATTGGGCAATGTGTAGATACAAAACCACCAATCATGATCTAATTAGAAGTAGTTGAATGATAAATCTTTTACTACCGTCGACAGTTTCAAACTTCGTAGGCTATCTTTGAGTCGAAAATAGTTCTTTCCCATTGGAATTTCTCTCTTTAACCAAGCTGGTAGTTTTAACCTAAATAAGCAAAATTAAAATGATTCAACGGTGCACTGAAAAGTATCATCTTCAAAACAAAATACCTTGAACTTGAAAACATGCATTTACAATGGCCAACAATTAATACAGAGAGCCATACATTTGAATCTAAGACAATGCACCTTCTGTTCAAAGAAGAACAGAAGTTTGGTTTGTGAATCTAAGACAATGCACCTTCGCATCGACAATGTTTTTGCAGCAGTAATTGTAAATTCAAAGGATCAATAAAACAAATAATCCTATAATATGTTGTTCTGGGCATGTTTTACATCTTTTACAATTATCCTTCATTTACAATTTTCTCGCATCAACTGTAATCAACATCCTTCAAACTTTCAGAAAGCTGATTTTATCAGTGTCCTATCTCATTTTTCCTCTTTTTTGCTCTATGTCCTTAGATAAAAATTTACTTATGACAGTTGATCACAATTTATCATTTTTATTAATAAATTTCACTTATAGATAAAAATTTTCAAATGCCAAATTTACTTAAAGTTCAAATATGCTTTATGTCACCTTTTTGGTATAAGTTACTTTTATGAAATTCTTAAAATGTTGTTTCTTTGTTTCTTTTCCAAGCAATTTAACATTTTGACCCCATCTTACCCTGCAGTTTGAAATCTAATTAACCAATTGATGCAAAATATTAAAATTTACCAATCAACGTGGATTCAACTTCACAAAGCTACTGTAGTGACTCTACTTAGGCCTGTTTACATTAATTTTCCTTCTCATTCATTCAATCACATTTCCACATTCTCACATCGCAGCACAGGCATCCTCTACATCACTCTCAAATCACGCATTTGCTAATCCATTTTGTTTACTTAATCTTTGCCATGCTATTCAATTTACTCATCACCTTTACTTGCCCTTCCTATCTTTTGTTTTCCTCACATCATTTATGTTAATTTTAGTAATAAATTTCTGTATATAAGTATGGTAATTTGTAATTTTAGTTCAGTTCAGTTCAGAGTTCATTTAGTCAGAGTTATACAGGCAACATACTGTCTCTCTCACTGGCTCTATGTTCTCTGCACGTAAAACAAGATTCGCTGGGTTGGGAAATGACACATTTATTTAGTGCTTACATTGATTGCCGTTCCAATGTACACTAAACTACCATAAACAGAACTATAACCAAATAAATGATAATGTGTACCTCTGTCCTTTTTTTCTTTTCAGGGGATTCTCCTCCACCATAGGAGCGCCACTGATGAAATCTCCCAATCCAGGGCCTTTTGCAATTTCATTTTTCTTCTCTTCTGATAATGATGACAATATTCTTCTCTGGACAGTACATAGCTAAGACAAAAACAAAAAAGGATGGGCTACCATTTAATCACATTCTTTCACGGATAAAAGGTGAAAAACATACTCAAAATTTTGTCTGACATTCATCTAAGGAAACTTCAGAGAAATGATCATGGGTAAACTATTGAATTAATAGACTTAAAGCACTACGTGAGAATGGAACTTTCAAAATCATTATTGGTGGCTGAATGGGTGCATCACCTGGTTGTAGATTTATGAGTTTTCTGTCAAAAATGCCAAATATAAAATGTGTCCAAGTAAATTTTTCAAATCTTAATATGAAACAGCTTATAAAGTTAATGTTTCTAACTGTGGGCCAAACTGAAAAATCCAAGGCCACCCTCAGTACACCACTGTACACATTGTATCAAATGTTAAGTAATATTGATGTTTCAGCTTTTCCGTATGATTTTTAATCTTTCTGATACCAAAAAATTATATAGCTTTTATCTTTTAAGTGTTACAGACATGCAAAAATATCAGATCTGCTTTTCCATCATTCCTTTCCAACTCATCTTCGGCCATCATCCGCTTCCTCTACTGCCCTCAACCTCAAAATTCCATGCCTGTTTCACACACTCATCATCACTCTTTCTCAAAACATGGCCAGACCATCTCAAACTTCCTTGTCTAACAGCTTCTACAATGGTATCCTTCAGTACTAATCTAACAGTTTCTACAATGGTTAACATTGTTTTCTTCTAAAAAATTGTCTTTTACAAAATGTAAATGGTTGCAGTGTGTGATGTTGCTACTTTTCGAGAAGCATGTATGTGACAGAATACGCTTCCTGTATCCCAGGCACTGGCATGGAATCATGCACCTCAAACTGAGAGGCCTCTCACTGCAACCAAACTAGCTCCTAGCATATTATGCAAGTTTTCCAGCCTGGGTGCCAACCCGACCTATCCCACCCATTTCTTGTTATTTTTGGCCTTTTCATTGCGATATTGTTGACTCAGCTTTTAGTTACTCTGTTTACAGTCATACTCCTTATTATTATCACAATATTGCTCATTCCTGAATATAGGTCAGGTCAAACCCTTGTAAGCAAACTCCTCTTACAGTGTCTCTGCTTTTTATCACACTCTGTTAAAGTCACAACTTTTTTCCTTCCTGAACAAAAGAACACTCTAAAAATACAGTCACATTAAGGCAATAATTCTTATAAACCCTTTTTAGTAACAAGTTTTAATTTTTCTGTCTTTGCATTAGCCTGTTAGCATTTTCCTCTATTTTTGATAAACCATACTGTAGACCATAAGAATTCTTCAGAGTTTTGTTATGTTATCATGCACAATAAATTATAAAAAAGTTGCCTTCACACAGTTGTTTCAATATCGTTTTGCTTCATTCTCTTGCATTTTCTTCCATTAAGGGCTTTGAACAGGAAATAAATCCCCCTTAATAATTTTCAAAACTTTACTTCAAACAATACAAAACCAATCTTGTTGGCATTTTGCATTTAACCCTTCCTCTCCCCTCTAAACCAGTAATATGCTTAGCGGTCTCTAGCATTGGAGCAGTTTTTCAAAAAGAAGGTTAGACAGCATTGAATATTATTGTGGATATGCTTGAAAACAATTCTTTCGCCATTATAGGGCCACATAGCTTATTTCCTGTCACCTATCTAGCTTTCTTAGGTAACTCTGCTTAATGTCATTCTCCGCTTGAGTGTGAGGATGACTCAGTTGTTAGAGGCGCTGACTACAGACCCAAGGGTCCATTGTTCAAGTCCCTTGCATGATCAAACTTTCACACAGAGTGAGGTGAGTCGCCAGCTCTCTGTTATTTCAGGTGTAAGAATCACGAGGTGTGGTCACATTAAGAGGAAGGACCAGGACACTGCTCGATAAGCATAAGCTTCTCAGTGTATGTTCAAACTGATTGTGTGCAGATCAAAGCTCATAGGCAAAGTGCCAATCATGCTTCCAAAATTTTTTAAAGTACTAGCTTTCCATCCACTTGGGCTGTCACCCCTGTTGGAACCTTCTTTTTGAAAGGAAGACAGTATTTGGTGACGTAGATGAGTGTCCTTAAAACTACTCTGGATGCTAGATAGAATTAAATACGATGCTTATAGTCACACTTTTCTGGAAAACATTTAGTGTAACTATAAGCAGAGTCAAATGTATAAACTTATATTTCTTTTCTTTGTGCATTGATTCATGGCCAAATGGCTTGCCATCTAACAAGGTGCTGTTACGGTGTTGTTTTTTCTTCTCAACCAAGATTAGATTGGAATGTTTGCAGGTGCAGCCAATTTCAAAAATTTAAATTCAAGAAGATTGGGAGGGCATCGCCATCCGTCTTGAAAATGGTCAATTATTACTGTCTGTCTGTGCCTGTGGAGTTTTGCAAATGTTTTTGCATGGTAGCCTGGATCAGACTGAAACAAATACTTAATTCGCTAAGCTTGCTGTTAATGGTGTAATTTATCAGACCCACATGAAAAAGATAATTCAAATTAGACTTGTAGAAAGTATGAAGAACGTGGAAATTATCCAGTCTGCAGAATATGGCATGTGCACACCGGAGATATTTTTGTGCAAAACCTGTTGCACACCCGTATTTTTGGGTGTGGCAACTAAGATGGGTGTGGCTTGGTGTGGTCCCATAGAAAATGTCAGCTGATAAAAACAAGCACAGTTGTGTATGAACAATTTGAGATATCATGAATCTTACTTGACAAATATACAAATAAAAACTTGCGCTATCTTCAACAGTATACTTCACACGCATTTTTATGGTGAAATGCAAATTCACAAATTTTAACCACAACAGGGAAAAATAGTCGGTGCACACCAGCACACCAGACATTTTTGGTGGTGCACACCATCACACCAGGCTTTTTGCTCGCGCACACCGGAGATCTCGTCGAAAAGTGCCATACTCTGCAGACTGGGAAATTATGTAACGAGGCAACACCCAACAAAGATCGTACCAATTAACATCAGGATAGCTCTGTAGTCTACTGGAAATAAAAGCCAAATAAATTACAGTACCTTCCCTCCATGTAGAGCAGCAAAACTTCGGTTGGAGAATAAAATCGCTGAGGCTTCACTTGCGTTTAATTCTAAGGCATATCTCCGGATAGTGCCTGCCATGTTTCCTTCTGTAAACGAGTCTATTTTGTTGCTGCCTCATAGCCGTTCTTGTTTGTGTTGTTGTTGTGCAGGATCGATGCACTATTAGAGATATCAGCACGTGTCGAGTTTACATCCAACATTTGGGTTGCGAAAAGTTGAGATTATGGCGAAGAGTTTAAGATCAAAGAGAAAAAGAAAGTTTAGAGCATTGAAAAGGATAAAGCACCAACCAAAGATCGATGCAAAAATGAAAGAAATAGCGCTTGAAGTTGATGCTGGTATGTATTGCTTTGTCTGATCTATTTTCTCTCCCACCAACACTGTCAGTGGTGTCAATATGTAAGTCATATGTTTAGCAATTACATTTGAGCAAATTCATATATTTAAAAAACCTTCTGGAACTCTTAGTTCACTTCAGTGCAGATAAGAATAATTAGAACATTAGAGATGGGCAACGCTCAGGGCAGATTCCAGTTCTTGTTTGTTGATTTTGCTCCACAATGCCCAGTTGTAAGAAACCATCAAGTTATATTGATCAGAAACTATATCGATTCAGTCAAAGAAGGAGGACATTTTTTGCAAAAAATGACTAAGAAATTCAAAGGGAAAATGATAATTACCTTTACTACCAGTATTTATACAGCATAGTAACAGTACAGAAATAAATTCCAGGAGAGCAATTTTAGTAAATCAAATTTAATTCTAGAGCAAACCAGTCATAGACCAAACTGTAAAGTATTTTTTCTGTGCAGGGAACACCAAAACAATAATTTGAAATTTGTGGATAACGAACATTTCCTGCGAAATCGTGTGCGGAATTTGAAGCAAAGGCTTTCAAATAGACATTGTATTCTTTGTTTTTTCTTGTTATCAGAGGTCAAAAGTTTAAATGGTGGAATATTCACAGGGAACTTGATCAGATAAACAAATATTGTGTGTGGAATCTACGGTAGTTTCTTAATAATGCGCGGGCAAAATGAAGGACAAAAATTATTACGTGGGGAACGGACCAAACTTTTCAGTCTGGGTCATAGAATTCTAAGTCCAGGATGTACCTGTCCTCTAATAACCAGGCGTGTACCTTTTGCCATCAAACTGCTCATCAAATTCATCACAATGGTTGCATTACAGAGGAACATTGTTAGTGACATCTTTTGATAGCACCATGATAGCAAATGAATTAGGATGCTCAAGAATTATGCTGAAGTCTGGTTGCCAAAAATAAAGGCAAGAGACCTTTGGGGAAAAATCCTAACATTCATGAGGCAAGAGTTCCCTAGCCCGAGTGCCCTTGTTGAAATTCTAATTTCTCTGAGATGATCAAATTCTGACAATTACAGTATTGACTGTAAAGCTAACCATATGATTCTGCAGTAATGAACATTATATGACCTTATTGATGCACATATTTAAAGCATGTTTTGATAAGGCATTTATATTTATTTATTTATCCATAGTATGACTTAAAGTGGATTGACTATAAGCAAAGTTAACTTTATCGTTTGTTTTGCAGTGTTATTCTCCTTTCAAGGCTTTAGTTTAAATAATGTCCCTCAAAACTGGTTAAAAACTAGGCTGCATCTTGCATTTGTAGAAAGTAGAAAATAAATTTGGCTTTACTTACCTCTTTTTTCTAACAGCAGATAAAACAGTCAATGAAAACGATGTCAATCAAGAAAATATGAATGCTACTGAAGAATCGAAATTGGACAGCAAAAGGTCTACTGTAGAAGAGACAGAAGAAGATGAAGATAATGACATTGATATGGATAACAAGGGAAGTGATAATCCAAAGAAATCAAGTAAAAGTTCATCAATACCCTTCCATCTATTATCACAGAGAAAACTGAGAAAACTGCAAATGAAACATAAGCAAAAGAAAGGCAACCCAAAGAAAAAGAATTTTTTAAAGTGGTGATAGACTTTAATTGTTATTTTAATTTTATTAGGTAATACATAGCCCAATATGGAGTTATACTCTGAAAATATCTTTAATGGGACAAAATTTTATCTAAAGTAGAAATATTCCCCACACCTTTAAGCAAGAATTTTTTTTAATATTTGAGTTTGCTAATGAATAGCTCCAATAAGTTATATTCAAAGGTCTTTCTGATCCTTCTTGCTGTGGTTTGAAATGTGAAATTTTCATGTTTTCAAAAGATAACTGTGAATGTCAATAATGTGTACAGCCTTAGTTGTTTACCACCTGAAGAAACTCTGCTTATAATATTTTTTACTATTACATATTATCAGCTGTTTATTTCAATATCATATCTAAAGCTGCCAAAGTTGTTGTCGAGTCGTTTTGCCACAAAAATGAAATTGTATATGTTTTTTGTTTGGCCAGGCTCATGTTGGATTTCTTTTTGAAATACTGACATTTCATGTTCTTTCTTTGGTACCTATCATGTAAATCGTTCTTTCGAATGGCATTGATAATGCTCCAGAGCCCTAGCAAGATAATGAATCTACTAGTATGATGCATGCCTGGTGAGCTATAAGCAGAAAGTTTTTTCACTCATGCTATGTATTATTGCATTGTAACTATGTGACAATTCATCGCATCATGTTAAATTTTTTGTGTATATAATAAACACATTTTGTTCTTCTACTGTGTCCCTTTTTGTTTCATTTTTCAAGCTTTTGTGAAAATCTTTGATTGTGAGGCCTTGTTTATAAATCAGAATCTCAGAAGATTGTAAATTAGAAGATGTTTGTAAATCAGAAGATTTCGAAGAATCTTTTACAGGTATGCCTTTCCTGCTCTGTTTAAACAACAAAATGTAAAATTATGCCCTCTTTTTGTGGTTTGGTCTTTAGGCAGAGAAATATTAAATAAAGAAAGGACTGGCAATAAAGAAAAACTTATTAAAATGGCATCTCATGCACTAATACATTTCATGATTACGTAGTTTACACTTCATCTTTAGAAATAAGCAGCAATTATTTCAATAGCAATTAGCCCTCTGCTCAAAAATCTTTTGGTGCAGAAAAACTGAATGTTTCTGAGACCAAAACACCAAATAAATTGTTTAACAAAAAAGTCTAAGACACTAGTGCAATTAGATAGCACAGTTTGTAAATTACATCTTGGGACTGGAGAACTTGCACAGTCCATGTGCTGCATTGTGGACAAAAGCTGAAAGCTTAATTATGTTTATCAACTATCAATAACGGAAGTATCAAACTGCTGAAAGAAAAAACAGACAGCCAGATTGTACACTTGCTGTCAAAGGGTCTTGGCTCTACCCACAATAACCATATTAACTTTCCAATATTGCCTTTTGTTTGAGGTTTTTAAAACCATATTATCATATAAAATCATATAAACCAGGTTTCTCAAACATTGTAGCAGTGGAAATCTAATGAAGTGACCCACAATATGTTGTCTGCCAATTTTATTGTGCTTAATGAAATTAAGGTGAGGGGGTGTAAAAATCCTGTTACTGGCCTGTGATGTCACTCTGAGAAGGTTCTCTGTCCTGGCACATAACAGATATCAATAATCTTATACATGCCTTTATATGGTGGTATCAAATGTTCTATTGGTCATTAATTAATTGACTGACCTGCTGATTATTATGGAGGGCAGAAGTTTTAGACAGAAAGGCATACAGAAAGTGATTTTGACAATTACAAATACATTAATGCTAATGCTTAAAAATCAAATGCTTTCTTTTTTGTGCTATCCCATCCAACTTTCAATCAAATTTTGACAAATTACTTCGAAAAATATTCTTAACAGCAATAACTATATGCTTTTTTATGCTCTGAGTAAGATACACAATTGAAGTTACATGTTTTATGCTCAGCTGTCACCAAGGTATCCAAGCAGTTTCTTCAAGAATTGTTTGAAATCTGGGTTGCTTTGCTCACAAAGATATTTCAGGGCTTTGCTCTTGAAATTGCCACACACATTCTCGGGATCTAAAAAGAAAATTACCTGGTTGATTTGTCAGGATGTGACACTTGCCTGGTACACACATAAAAAACTTGTGCTTTGTGCCACAACAAAATAGGATCAACAACAACAGTATCAATTATTTCGTGAAATATTTTATTGTCTTATACTGGTTGAGGTAAATTTTAGAATCAAATGACTTTTTTAGGCAAAATTTGCTTTTAAAAGAGTAGGCAGATCAGCATCTTTCATTGGACCTGTTCCAGTGTGGTTTGCCAAATCCTGTTGTATTCATTAGATATTATGTCATCCTTGCATGCCACAAGCAATAAGGAGTAAACATTATCATCGTGAAACATTGTTTTCCATATTATGTCAATGTTTTTCTCCCATAAACTTTACGACAATGCTAGACATCACTATTAGCCTTCTAGAAAGCATTCTATTGACTATGTTTTTGTCTTTTGTTTCTTTGTTGTAGTACTTCCCTTTTCATTTATAGAATAGTAATAATTTAATGAGTCTGCTATTAGCTGTGATATGCTTTTCTACAATGTTTTAAATAGGACGTACCTTGCATGACAAATAGCAATATTTTTTTTATCTTCACTCCATTTGAAATACATATGTAAATCCCCATGTTTCTTATAGTAACATTATTTGAAGTTGCTCTTTCTTTCTCTACCGTCATGTTTTCAAATGCATCGTGTATTTCCCTTAAGTATCCTCTGTGTGTTTGGTAAAAGAATTCAACTGGAGCATTGGAGTTGGGTAGACTGCAGTCTAATACAACTTTTGAGCCGACTTTAACGATTTGGAATGTGTCTTTGCTTACTACAGGTGTTGCCTCTAACGGAAAATAAACATCAGTCGTTAGAATCTCTAATAGATAACTTTCCAACAATATTTTTAAATAAGCGAGTTGCAACTGGAAACTTTCTTTTACCCTAATCCATCTTATTGTTTATTTGAATTTTGAAGTATCTGTAAATAAACTAAGTATCACTTTCATAGCTATTAATTAATCTATGATAAGAAAATTAATAACTGTTAACCAAAATCTATTAAAAAGTCATGTCTTTTTTGCGTATACTAGAATTTCTTAAAAGAAAAACTCCCTTGATAGTCCTAAAACTAACAAGAAGAAAGCATCGCCTTAGTAGAGAAGATATTTTGTTAATTGGCATAAAATATGTATTTGACATTGTCTTTCAAAACCAGTGTATCATTGTAAGGAAACCTGAATATACATTATCAGCAGGTGAATTTTTACTCCTAAACCATATGTCTTTCTGTAATAACTCAGAATGGCTTGATGTTGCTATCCAAATTAAATTCTTCTGCCTGGCCCGGTTTGCCCAGGGAGTGGGGAAGCAGCGGCAGCCACCCGGCCACTCTCGCACGCCAAGTAAATGAAGGAAACTTTTCGCGAAAGATTGAGAAGTTAATTTTATGTCCAATTAATTTCCTTTCATTAGAAACAGGTTTAGATAGGCCGTAAACATGAATATTTTCCACTGCAGCTAATGCATTGTCATCAGGGCTCAATGCAGTTGAATTCCCTTTAGTCAGACCTTCAAAGGGTGTAAGGAAATGGACTGATTTAGCGAATGCCCGGCTAATTCTGGGTACTACTTTTGATCCTAAAACGTATGAAAATCCAACGGGAATATAAATATTCAGCTTCCACTTATTTTGGCACCTTTTTTCCAAAGAAACATGACCGAGGAATTCTAAAAAAGCTTTAATGAACCTTTTTATGTTGGAAAGAATATTACAATGGGAAAGAAGAAAGAAGTACCAGAAAAAATATTGGTTAAAAACGTATTTCAAGCAAGAAAGAAAAACGGAGAGTTTCACCTTTTTGTTGCAAGATATGACAATTTTTGAAAGAAATATAATTTAAAGTATTTGAAAATGACTGAGACTCAGTACTCAGCACTTCGCAGCTTGTTGCTGAAGTTGTGTCGTAAACTTCGAATGTTATTGGCTGAGAGGTCAAATCGTACGAAGTCCGCGAAAAAATGTTGTCTTGATTTCAACTGTAGAAGCAGAAAGCGATACAGTAAGCGTACTACTCTAAAAATTCAAAATATCTTCTGCTCATGCTTGTATCGTGTACCGTTTTCCGTCCATCCCGTGAAGAGGAACTCCACCCTAAAGTTTTGGTTTTTTGCAAAAACAAAGTTTAGCTGCGCAACAGACAAAATCTTACATCTGTTCTGTTTTACAATAGCCGCGGTGTGTACAATGAAAAATATTTACCCTTAACAGCAACTTTAACGTCAACGAAGGAGAAATATCCTGGCTTTAGACTGGTTGTGGCTTTGCATCGATATATCCCTGAATCATTCCTTAAAGCCTTGTTAATTGTCAGCTTGGATGAAACTCCGGAGGTAAGATAAGAATTTATGATTGATATTCTCCGATCGTCTGTCAGCTTCTTTCCTCCTTTGTACCAAGTAAGTAAAGTCCGAGGCCCTTTGCTTTGACATGAAACAATCAATTGCTGATCAACCTCAATTGCTAAAAATTTTGATGTCACTTCAGGCAATGGGGTGATATCCTCCACTGAAAAGAGAAGTTATTCAAAACAACCTCACATTGGTGCATTTAGTTGCAAAATAAAGTTATTTTTAAGGAAAAATGGAAACAAGGCACGGCCTGAGTGCTGTAGCTGAAATCAGTAGCGGCGCCTACGCAAATCTTAAAGTTCTTATGAAATGAACTTTGACAAGTTTAGATAAAGGCAAATTTAGACAAATTTAGACAAGTTTAGACAAATTTGACAAGTTTAGATAAAGGCACACTTTTTATAAGCAAAACTGCTGATTTCAATGATATATGTTGAGGTGACTTTTTTCTTGCGGAACCGTCTAAAAGTTTAGGCTGAATATCCCATTTTAACGTTTTCGACTGTGACAAAGCGCCGTTATCTGTGACGTAACGAAGTTTGCAAACACGGGAGCAGTTGACGTTTAGTACACGGAGGTCGTTAATTGAACTACCGTTAAAATTCCCGTAGGGGGCCAATTTAAGTCAGGGTACATATCCAATATTTTTAGCGCATCAAACTGTGGTTTTTGCAAAGTTTCATAGTATTGTATCAAAGTACGACTGAAATACGATAATACCGTCTATTAAGATCCTTGGCGATGTACCTCAGCCTGAAAATAGAACAAGGGGGCAATTTTCAGATGGAGTCTTTATCCTATCATTTTCTGCGTATCAGATTGCCATCTATTGCAAAGTTTCCTGCTACTGTACCTACTTTCGGCTGAGATATCAAAATAACGTCGTTAGTGGAGTCATGCGGTAAAGTACCCTAGTCTAAAAATAGCCCAAGGGGGCAATTTTCTTTCGGGGTCTATATCCTATCTTTTGTAGCGTATCAAACTGCCTCATGTTGTAAAGTTTCGTTCTCCTATACCTACTGTAAGGTTTACGTGTTGTAAAGTTTCGTTCTACTATACCTATACAGACCCGGTTTCAGAATATTTTGAAGGAGGGGGGGAACACCTCCCCCTACGCCCCCATGCGACCGGCTCTGTACCTATACTTACGTTAGAGGCTTGGGGCAAAGAATCCCTGTCTAAAAATAGCTAAAGGGGGCAATTTTCAGTTGGTTCCATTTCCTATCTTTTTCAGCGTATCAAACTACCCCTTTTTGCAAAATTTCATGCTGGTATCACAATTTGCACAATTGTTTGACTAACAGCCCCGACAAAGTGGTATGGAGTGTTTACTGTGAAGACGGAACCAACTACAAACCTTGTGACGTCACTGTTTCTTATGCTTTGTCACTCGTACTCATTGTTTTTAAAACCCCAAAAACAAATTTTCACGTGCAAATTTTCGAGTTAATTTTCTTTTTTTATTGCAACAACATGTAGAAGTTTCAATTTCTTGCAAAAAAACTATATGTGAAATTTCATTTCATAGGCACTTTAAGAATATGGCCTACCTCTACCTAATGCAGTTTTATCAATTTTTAGAAGAAATGTTTGGACCATGTTTTGACAAAAGTGGGAGGGGGCAATTACACCCCCATTCTATCCCCGCCAATGGCTGAAATTCCTTTTTCGTTACAACCTAACTCGCAATATTCCGCCCCGCAATCACCATGGCTAATATTAGCATGGCTATTGTAGGTGCTTCCAAAGTTCCCTTCTAAAACTAGTTAGCGCCTGTTCCTAGTTAATTTCCCGGCTCTGTTCTTGACAAATTTGTTTTGTCCAATCTACATTTATTAGCTTGACCTTCCTGACTAGGGGGAGGAGGGTCATCAAGAGTAAAATTAAAGGGGGGAGGGTCATCAAGACGTAAAGTTGATGAAAAATAATTCAAATAGGTGATTACATCTACCGATAGAAAAATTTGACAGACCAACCAAGGATTCTGGGGATCAAGTGGAGATCTACCGACCAGCTTAAGAATATTTGGGTAATCCCAACCCCTGCACCCCCACCTTCTAGTTACGCCTTTGATTTAAACTAATTTACTTATATTTGTCTGGAAACAAAACCAATTTCTTCAGTATTACCATGCCTCATTTTGAATGTGATTCCTTATTGTGATTTTATGAATTATTTCATTAAAGACTAACTACTCATGATATGCATAAGTTCTGTCAATGGGAGTTCAAATTCTCCTTTAATGATGGTTTACCGTTGCTCTTACAAAAGTATTTTATTTCTTTTTCTGTTTCAACTTGAAAAATGGACGGGGATCGCAATGGTGGAAGCAAATGCCACACCCATTAACTGACTTTCCAAAGAGGGATGCTTTTGCTACATCCTTTTCTTCCAAGCCTGATATCAACCGATAGCTGATAGTTGATCAAAGGTTGACTATGCTAGGAAGCACACAGTATTACAATGAAAATAAAGATGCATTGCTCAAAATGACCTGTTGGAGCAAATAAATAGCCTATGAATAAGAGAAGATTTCCTCAACTAGGTTTGTCTAAGAATCTGCCAAAACTTACTTCGACTTTGGCGTTGTTGCAACTGACGTTTGTGACATGATAGCAAGTTAGATGGTTTTTAGCAAGATATAAATACTCATAAATCAGCTAGTTAAATTGATTATTTTCAGAAATAATAACCGATCCGAGCTCTGTTGCAAGTTCAGAATTCCCTCCTTTACGTTTACCATCATTCTCTCTATTAACTTGAAAATTTAAACTCACTTACATAATCCAATCACTATTACAGGAACTTGTTTTTCATACTTCGTCCCGTAAAGTTCTGCAACACACAGATACATTCCAGCCTGATTGATGCTGGTAAGTGTTAACTCGAATCTGTTTTTTTCTTTCTGTTTGTAAACTTTACCATCCATTACAACCTTCTTTTTAACGTTATTTGGCATCCTTCTATAAAGTGAAATCTTCTCGACATTTTCATTGTTCACGTTGCAGTCAATGATAAAGGACTTGCCCACAATGACTGGCTTTAAAGATTTGCTCCCCTCTAGTCCAGTAAAAACGATTCCTTCAGAATATGCTGCAAAATAATTGAATTTGCTAGACATTGATAAATCCATATCGTTATGCTCGGGTTCTTAAAAGATACAATTTTTGAGAAAGGTAAATGATAAAATGAGGAAACTGAGAACATAGTGCAGAAGAAGAAAGAGAATTCCAGACAGGCAATAATAGTGGGCAACAAACCGAGTGAATTTGAAAATTCTACGCATTTTCCATTTTGCAGATGTGGGCTGCAAACTGATCAATATTTTGGTAATACCAAGATATTGATCAGTTTGCAGCCCACATCTGCAAAACCTTATAAGAATCGTATAGGTTTTACAAATAGATTTTATACTATAAAGTCTACGCGTGGTAGATCCATTTTCCAAGGGAAGAAATATCTTACTTTTGAACTATGGATCTATTTCAAGATAGGTCTATACTGGCCTTTTCGTCACCCAATGAGCTCTAATCGCGTGATTCCTTTGCAATATTTGTTTCATAGGATGTTAAGGGATTTTCAGGGATTTTCAGGAAAAAATTCATGGATTGAATTGCCTACCACACATACCACAAGTTTTAACACAACAGCGAAGCGAAGTACGTTCTCGTTACAATCGCATCACAATTTGAAATTTATAATCATCCGGTTCTTGTTATCCGGTCCGGACGCTGAAGTTGATTGTCTGTTCTAGCTTTACGTTTTCAGAATTTTGCCAGGGTTGGGCCCATGGGCCCCTTCCCCCATCAATGTTGTCTTTACCGCCCTACATATGCATATTTGAAGATTTTTAAAGTAGTTTGACTGTCAAGACATTTTAATTTGACTGTCAAGACAATATGGGCCAGAAAACTATAAATTTATTATATTTATTTCTGTTAATATTGTTTTTAAAAATCGAAACAAGAAAGTAGGGAATGTTATAATTCTAGTTTTGGGTCTGCTATTTGTGTCTACAATTTCATCGAATCTTGTTATGGTTTGAGGTTTGAGACGAGATTCGTAATTAATTTATTAAAAATCCCAAAACAGTGCGAGGTTAACCAAAGAATTAAAAAATAAAATTTTTCATCTGGCGTACAAAAAGAAGTTTTCAATAATGATGATACTGTCAATTTTGCGTGAAACTTCAAATTTTAGTGTGGAGAACAACATTGAATTTGTGCGCGCCCCTGCCTTCGGCGTCCACCTAAACATTCTAGTCTTCGGTGCGTGCGACAGTTTGCAGTGCATAACTAAAGCTGGGTGTTTCCAAACTAAAACTTATTTATTTTAGTAATATTCTAAAATATCAGGAATGTCGCTGACGAGAGACGCAGACCTGAGCTAAATCATCACAATCGACATTCCCAAAGCAAAGGAAATACAAACCATAATTTTGATAAAAGCAGTACCTTTAACATGAACCAGACGAATGGTAATAAGTATCGCTGTTAGCAGCGCGGATGTTTTCATCTTTCCTTTTATCTTGTCTTCTTCCAATATATTCGGCCTTCGAACTTTACTATCAATTATTTTGAGCTGTGAATAGGATGATTTTGAAGCTCCAACTTTATACTGTTATGTTTCCTGTCTCAATTTTTGTGCTAGCCACATCCGGTTCCCGAAATAGCTGCTTTTGTGACGCAAGTATCAAGCAGTTTGAGCATTGCTAAATTTAATCTATTTTGCTTAAGTTTTGTGACAAACAAGTTTTTGGCAAACAAAGGAAGGAACAGTAGCAAGGATAGACTTACCAGGGGGTGTAAGGGGTGCAACAACCCCAATTATATTTGTCTTACTCGGTAAATTTTGCTTCGATCTGTGAAAAAGCACTCTTGGTTGTCAGTTCTCTGACCATATATAGTTTGTTTCGAAAATAAATTATTTAGGCAGAAAAAGTATGGTGGGATTGCCAGATTTGTATGGTGGGAAATATGCCAAATTCAATCTCCTCCGCAGAGACAGCTAGTGACTGCGCAGGAGATTATTCAAAACAGTGGATTTACCTATATTTGTAAAATCCTTGGGACAAAACTCGATATTTTTCAAGAGTATGTTGGCTTCACAGTAGAAATCACACCAACTTCATATTTCTGATGCAAGTGAAACTTCAGAAGGCAATATAGACGACTTTTAATCCTGGCATGTAGTAGGTACCAAATTTTTGAAAAAGATGGTATAAATAAATCATTGTCATTTTAAGTTTGTCGAATATGTTTGAAAGAAACCTGAATTCCTGCATTTTATATTTTTGCTGGCATATAAAGCTCTTTTCAAAACATCTAATTCAAGCAAAGATTAATAACCATTTACACTATAATTTTTGAAATTGCGATGCCTATGACCAGGGCCTTAGCTAGATGTCTTGTTCTGGAGGGGGGGGGGGGGGTCCAGGACGAAATTGGCGACAAAATGGGCGTATAATGAAAAATTCGCCGACGAAATACCCCTTCATGACCAAAAATGACTTTTTTTAAACAAATTTTTGTGCCTGGAGGGTGTCATCCCCCCGTCACCCAACTGTAGCTACGGACCTGCCTGTGACGCATATTTCCGTTAATGTAAACGTGATCTAAAGCCACCATAGACCTTTAAGTAGGCACACAATAGTTTGTATGATTGAGAAAGAGAAAAACACCAAATTAATATTTGAAAATTTACTGTATTTGCCTGCTCATTTCATTCATATCACGTATCAGCAAAGCTTTCGTAAAATTACATGCTTGAAGTTAAAGTTTTAACAAATGGAGTGAATCATTATCTATACAAAGTCTGCAAGGACAATTTCATCTTCTTCGTCCTTGTTGGACACAGCACTTGGATACAAGGATACTTGGATATCTGAGTTGAACAAGGAAAGCATTTTTTGGCTTGGTACGAAGTCTTTGCAACATTTTTCACCAAAGTGCAATTGACTGCGAATGCGAACGATGGCCTCCACCATTGTGACACCCATTCGGTTGCGGTTCTTTGTCTTCACATTTGTAGCATAGGAGAAAATCCTCTCAACAACGGCATTGCTGGTAGGGGTGGTAAGGCAGGCAAGAGCATGCGCTGCTAGATCTGTGAAGGGGAATTCTTGTACTGAATTTTGATACTGGTGAACACCAGACCAAAATGCTACAGCTTCTTGAGGTATTCCATCCTTGAAGACAGGTTCCTCTCTCCAATTGACAAAGAAAATGTTTCGGTATTGGTTATCAATTTCGGAAAGCTTGTCAACCATCAAATGCTGCATTGGAAGCTTTGCAAGAGGCACTCTAGCAATTTGACTAAGCTTTCTTGATGGATGCAAATAGCTTAAAGCCTGAAAAACATCCCTTGATGGTGGAAGGCGTTTGCTCACTTGGCTCGTAGCTTCTAGAAGCATTTTGTGGCACCTCCCCTTGGCCTCCATAACCTTTAATAACATGGAATTGTCTTTCTTTGTTGTTGTCTACCAGTGCACCAGCTTCAAATAGAAATTTAGCACCAAAATCTACTTTCGCAAGTGGCAGCTGGACTTCATTTACATCGAACACACGCCTCTTGAGACTGTCGAAGAAAATATTTAGCTCCTTGATCATGCCATGAGGATCAATATCTGTGGCTTGAAAAAATGTATTCACCCTTTCAAACTCGTCTACAATCGGAGATAAGAAGTGGAAGTATAGGAGATTCATAGGATCTCGTAGCATATCTGCAATCAAGCGGGCTTTGTAACGCACTTTAGCATCCCCTTCAAGCTCTGCAATGGAGAAGTAGGCTCTCAACTCCTGCCAGTTGACTAAGATGTTGAAAATGACTAGCCCTCTCACCAGCCAACGTGTTTGTGAGAACTTCTGGTAAGGGTTGGGAAAGCTTGCACGCTCACTATTCTCATTGATGATGTCGAACAGCTTCTTGTATGCTTCCCATCGCAAGGTGCTCTTAGAAAACCATTTCGGAATCTCACTCAAAAGGAAGCCAAGATGGGATGGCATCTGCTCGAATGCATGCTTGACGGGCCAAGGAATGGCATATGCATTTCATTATGGTGCAGTTGGGCGATTCAGTCCTGACCCTGGACCAAACTGAGTCATGCTCACCAACTATGGCTGATGCTCCGTCGCTGCCAAACCCAACACAGTCACTCATCTTCAACCCGGCAGCCTCCACACAAGCTTTCATGGCGTCGAACAAATCCTTTCCAGTTGTACTGACGACTGGTATCAAACCAACAAAGGCAGTGACCATCTTCTTCTCCTCCTTGCTATAAAATCTCACTGCTACGCAAAGGTAGTTCAAGCAGGCAACATCTGTCGACTCGTCAATCATGACACAAAACTTTACACCAGTCATATCTTTGCACAAATCTTCGTGTAAAGCTGGTGTAACAACATTCTTTATCAGATTGGCACACTTTGTGCGATGCAGCTTCATTTTCTCTAACTTTGAACCAGTTCCACCACGTACTATTATCTCTCCAATACGGTCTATGGACATGATTGCACTGTGGCATGCTATGGCGACAGCAAATTGAATTTCTAATTTTTTTGTTTCTCCGCCTTTTTTTGGTTTTTGACCAAAAAATTTTCGGCAGCTTGTAACGGAACAGGGTTGAGGTGTTGCTTGAGGTTTGAGACTTTAGGTTGGATGTTTACTCGGCAAAAAGAGCTTTTTAACCCAAGGATACTTCCTCTGCCATTCGGGCTTGAACCTTCTAGATTCATCGTAGTGACCTTTCCATTTTGCACCTTTAAATGGCTTGCTGAGACTCATTTTAACCTTTCTTGAAAATTGTACCGTAACATAAATAAGACATCCACTGGTTTGTTCGAATTTAGATTATAAAATTTTTTATCAACGGCCCTTTTATAGAGTGCTTGTGCTTTCTAATTCGGGAAAAATGCAATTAAAAAGGGTGTTACTATTCTATATTATGATTTTTGAAAAAACGAACCTCATAAGTGGGTGCCTCACATTCAAAACAACAAAATATGGATAACCCTGGCCATTGTGATTCATTGCCGGAAACGTCATGCCGTCATACGTCACAGAACAACACATGATGTGTGTAGTTCAATGAGAAAATAGTCTGCTGGAAATGCTATTATTGTCTCGCTGACCTTATGAGGTCAGAAAGGGCATTCATTTCGTCTGAAGTAAGAAATGCCAGACAAATTTTGAGAAAAAAATTGTTGACTACTATGGACGAAAAAAAGCCAAAAAGAAGCCAAAATTAAAAAATAAGCCAAATGAAAATTTTGCAAGCCAAACCAATCGAAAAAAAGCCAAAATAGCAAAATTTGGCTTAAAAAAGCCAATCTGGCTACCCTAATCAAGGCAAATGAATAAAAGTCAGGATGTACATTGATACGTTGGTGACAATTATCCTAGGTACGTGGTCATTGTGATGACAATCCTAGGTACGGCGTGGTGCTGATGACGTTGATGAAAGGTAGAAACAAAAGAAGCGGATGAAATAGCAATAAAATCAATCCAGAAAATTGCCAAGTCAATTCATAAAGCCTGGTTTTCATATATCGTATCCCGTCGGCGATGATCCCCGATGCACAGCTTTCCTGATGATCGGGGACCATCCCCGACGGTCGGGGATCTATGATCAAAACATTGACGTTTATGATCAACACATTGATAATTTCGGGATATTTTGCAAATGAAAATTCATTACAACAAAGTAAGAAACTTTCCCCGCGCACCCCTCAGAAAAATATTGCTCCAGAAGAAGCCATTGTTAAAATGAAGATAAAAAAGGAGAAGCAAATTGCAGTATGAATTTTCTTGGGAAAATTTCTGTTTAGTGGATTATGTAATGACCATGAAGATTCACCATGATTCACCTTAAAAAATGATGAAACTCAAACTTAAGACTAGGAATCAAACTAGGAATTATAGCCCCCTTAATAATCCCTGTACTGTCGAAAGCATTCCAGTTTTTCCGCAAAACAGTTACCCTCCCTTCAGTTCAAATGAACTCACTTTTGACATAACATTCCTGATCCATTGTTCTCTTTACTATTGTTCATCGGGAAGCGTCGGGAAAGTCAAATTATTTTGACTTTTGCGATGATCGGGGATGATCGCCGATGGTTCCCGATGACCCGGTTTTCATATGTCATAAACCATCGCAGACTGTCATAGACCGTCGGGAAGCTGCGTCGGGGATCATCGCCGACAAATTACGATATATGAAAACCAGGCTTACGAGTATCCATGTAACAATAAACTACTCATCAAACCATGAGAACAGAAGGTGATCTGTTTTGGAGCTGTGGATAGAACATGTTAACACTGAAGGTGACAAAAAGTACCAAATCCTTCACTCCTACTATATGAAGCAGATGACAAGTCAAAAAGTCATCAGCAAAGAATCAGTCTCTCTATGCAAACAAATATAAGCATTCTAGTTTCGGATCTTGTACGCATTACGATAAATGTAATGAAAAGGAAAGATCAGCCCACGTGCAACATTACAATCACAGAATGAAGTTTTCAGGATATTCACAAGGGAGCTGTCTAGTTTCCATACTGCTCGACCTGATGACGTAATTAGTTTATCGTAACCCTAAACCTAAACCTAACCCTAACCTTTAACTTGAAAATATTATTCATGCTAATTCACGACTATTAATCATGCTTATTTATGACTATCAGGTCGAGCAGTATGGAAACTAGACAATTCCATTCACAAGAGGACAGGGTGTTGTACTATAAGAAATCTAAGAAAGTATTCGATACGACAGTTGAACGTGATAGAACTAGAGAGTGTCCGATGTACAGGGGTAAATTTTGGCACAGAGGGGAAAGATATAAATGGTATAAAAAGGGTGGTCACGAAACAGCTATGTTTGTGGAAGCAACGCCAAATGATGAGTCAGCAAAAAATGCAGAAGTGCACTGAAAGTCTGTGTGGTTGAAAGAGCAGGAAAATCATTGAAAAGAACATTTAAAAAAGTCTGATCCGTTCAGAAAAGCAACGTGCCATCAACATAAATGCAAGATACGCCAACTAGACTCAGGTGTTTAAGGTAATATGTCCAGCTAAAGCCAAGGGGTTTTCAGAAACATTGCGATTTTTCATGTAATCGCCCAAGCTATTTTGGTCGTTCTGTTTATCTACACTGCTGCGAGACTAGCTTTTCATGTGAGCAGTTTGCATAGGAAGAATACTGACCAATCGCAAGTCGTTATTTTGATGTTACCTGACAAGTTGTGTATACGCATCCCTTTTGTATGGACACATTACATTTAACTGTAAGAGCAGAGGCGTTGTTTATCAAATGAAATGTCAAGGGTGCACCAGACAAGGAAACAATGACGGGTTATATATTGGTGAAACGGCGAAAAACATAGGGGAAGAAATAAACGAACATATAAAGAAATATGAGGACAAAACCTCAATTTGAGCCAGAAGCACATTGAAGAAAAACATGATGGAATGCGACAAAATATACAATTAAAAATACTTTCGTCTAGTGGCAATGATGCGCTGTTAGGCTAGGTAATAGAGGCCGTATTCACCAAAGGACTAGACCACGGAAGAATGGGGAAATTAAAATGGCGAAAAACGAACCGAGTTCAACGCAATGAATCTACAGAACCTGAACCTAAACTTAACCAACTTTAGAGGAACGCAAAGATCACTCTCAATTCTTGCTGAGGCGCCTGCCGAAATGCAGCAAAACTCTAAGAACAAATAATGATCGTGTATGTGTGTCTTAAATTATGGTTTTTCAACACAATAAAGGTATCAAGATCCTAAATATAATTGGTCGTATAATATACAGGGTCTCATAAAATCGTTGGCTCAAAATACCAGTGACCGAAAACAAAAAATACACTGTGTCATTATTACCATTCAGGTGTAAAATATATTTTCGATTTTTCTAATAAATTTTACATGATCAACTTATTCATTTATACTGTTAAAAATAATTGTCATGCTATTTTATAATTATGCAGCGATATCTGAAAATGAAAAAGAAATTCGTGCAAGGCATTGTTTCAAAGCTTGCGTAAATTGTCATTTATTTAATCTTTGCGTTGCTTTATAGATCGGGCTTCCTCTTAAAATAAAGAAAATCAGATAATACATAATATATATAGAAAAATAAAATTAGGGTTGCTTATACTGTAATATCGACTGATATATGTTATTTCACATTTATTTCTTCATGGTATTGAGTCTAGCTACCCCTAAAAAATTTTGTTCAAAAATTACAGTTAATAAACGTAGATTTAATTAATCAGTTTTCATTTCGAGCATATGCTTCAGCGAAATACTTTCTTTATCAAAATGCAATTTAAATTCTACAATTAATTTAATCAATAATTAGCGAGTTACAGAAATGTACTGTTACTATCTAAGTTTGAACTTTCAAATATTTTCTAAAATAATTGTTATAAAAAATTTTCAATATCATTAATTTTACAATAAGCCTACTTTGATTGTATGAATCAATTCTACTCATGTTCCGTGCCAAAGGGGTCTGTACTAAAACTTGATCGAGAAACTTACTGTTTTTTTAAAATTCCTTGGAAATCATCATTGAATCTTGGTTTCGTCCTATCTTGGTCGATCTTATGCAAAAAACTCTCATCAGGATTTCACTTTATTATTGAGTTATCGTTGCATGTGACTCTTAAATTATGATTATTTACCAAAATAATCACTTATTCATGATTTTTTTCAGAAGAAGCCATACTTCTATTACAGATTTGCTTATCAAACAAGAAATAGTGGCTTCACATGGCAAAGCATGGGCTCCGAAACAGGTTGGAAAGAGGGGGACAGGGGAAAATTTAACACCCATAAAAATGACATTGAAAAATTTCTAATGTTATGAATTATAGGAAAAAGTAATGGCCATTGACCCATTTCTCGGAGGACCTGCAAAGTTGTGTGTCATTTAGCAAATATCTTTAATACATGAGGCATTATCATCATTAGGTCAATATTTCGTATCCATTGAAGGAATTTTTTCGTAAAATGTTAGGCTTAACACAGCGTTAGTACAAATTATTAAATCTTATGTCAGTCAACATTTATTACTCTCCAGTTTTCTTGGCAGCTTCAATTTTTTCCCTCAGCTGCGTTGCAGTCAAAGGAACTAGAAAAAATAAAATAATAAGTCTGCTAAAAACACTGTAGCAAAAACGTGATGAAGAAATTATAGCTTTGAGGCTCGTAATAGTGTTGGTAAGGTAATCGTACATTGGAAAGTTACTAAATTTTTTTATCGAATCTATGAATTTCAGTATGATATCTGAATTAGTATTTACCTATTAATCTTTTCAGGGAAATTTACCTCTCTAAAGTTCATAAACAAACAGTAAATAGGACGGTGATGACTTCTATCAGCTCATTCAATCTTTTCTGATCTTAAGCTTGCTGAATATGGAGCTAGTTTTTAATCCATAATAGAACTACAATTCTGCAAAAAATCAAAGAATGTAAGAAATATCCTCAACATACCACTTTTAACAGCTCTGAAAATTTCTAACGTATTGTGATCTGCCGTTTCTGTAGATAACAATCCAACAAATATTTCATCCTTTACTGTCCACGCTCTTAGTTTGATTGCATTTTTCATTCCTTTGCTTCGAATTGAATTAACTTTGGCAAATTTTCCACTGCCAAAGAACTGAAAAAAACGACAGCATTGTTTAAAGTAGCAAGCATTTGCTTTTCTTGCGGCTTAGAAGTTTCTTAGGAGCAGCGAGAAATGCTACCATTCAAGGCTGTCTTACTGCTGTGTCGAGCCAGCAAGAAAAGTGTTGAAAAGTGTTAAAATGGACAACGTTGTCTTGATTGCTATATTTAGTATCTGCTATATAATACAAGTGCTATCTTCAGTATAAAGTGACTTCAAATCGATTAGTAGCCATTAGCATATGCATAAAAGCTTAAGAATGTTCTAGAAAGAAATCCAAAAATCCCTATGAAGCATCCTAGCCCATATGTCTCCCACGTCGATGATTTTTATGTTGTAGCATCAAGCCAAATTTGGGCTCAATTCGGCATTGGTTTCTAAAAAAAGCTTTGATTTCCTAAAACCCTTTATTATTGTCATTAAATCTACTGATTATTGATTTGAACTTTAAACTGAATTGAAGGTAGGCCCAAGAAACTCTACGAATATGATACGCTGAGGTAGACCAGAAAGATGAGTCAGTCAAAAATGATTATCAATTTCATCTATCAAATAACCATTCGCGGTCTGCTATCACAAATTAAAGCGCAAATGGAATTAGAGTTTCAAAATCATTGACGCAAGTTAGTTATTATGTTAAGGGTAGACACAAATCCTGCGTTTTCTTTAATAGTGTTACTTATGACCCTCCTGTTGTTTAAATTTTCTAATCTGATGTGAAAAAAGTGAAAACATTCACCTGGAAAATAGTAGTGCCTTGATCTTTGCTCGTAGCAATCAAATAAGCATAATTGTCGATTGTGAATGTATCAAGATATTGCGATCCAAGAATCACAAGATCTTGGTATCGAATGAATCGTTTCAGAGCTTTGTCATGCCTAAAAGACAAACTCCGATAATAATTACTAGATACATTCATGATGATTAGCAAGATGACTGACTGACTGACTGAATAAATTTTCAATTTCTTCATTTATTTGCTCAAATAAGCTTAAAAGGCAAGGAGGTACACTGGAAAAGAGGTAGAAGTTGATCGGGAGAGAAGACAGTTTTATGGGTAAGTATGCTGTGCTTTTCACTCATTTCTAATGATGTCTTTACATACATAGAGTTTAACGATTTACCTATGATCTGTAACTCACCGGTATATTAGAATAGGAACTCGAGCGTCTTTCTCTACGGAAACATCACTTGACTGGTACTGGTTAGCAATGGCCAGGAACAGTTCTCCATTTGCTTCGAGGAAGATCAGATCTGTTGCAACATAAGTCGTGATCGTCTGCGCAGGAGCATACACCCCCTTGTCACTTACCGTGTACACCAGTACCTCCTTACCGCCATGTACTGTAGTTTGGATAAAGGCAACGAAGAGATGCTTTGAATCTATCTGCTTTGTGATCACTTTCACAATGCCGCATCCAAAGAAAGAAACCAATGGACGGAAAAGACCGCTTGAGAGATTGTAGAGCAACGGAGTTGTGGATACACAGTTGGGTGTGGATGATGTTGCATTGTACGTGTTTGAAAACGTCACGATATGACTTTTACCGAATGCCGTAACGTGAACAACTTTTGGTCGTCTGGTATCGTACGAATCTCTTTTCGAATACGAGAACCCGTTTTTCACATTCAAACTGTAAATGGCACTTCGATCCGCTCCAGGATTTGACGAGTCGCTGTTTGCCACAGCTGTGTATATTTGGCCATTTTCATTGAATATCTTGATATCTGCAGCACCAAAGAGCGCAATCTGAAAAAGCAAATGAACGTAATTAGCTTGTGATATAGCAGATATGAAGACTGTAGCCGTCCCGTAATAAAGCATAATGGATACTATTACCAAAAAGATCCTCTTTACAACTTTTGTAAACCGAGTAGGCCAATAAGATTATTATGCAAGAAATTAGCAAAATATAATGCACAAATGTAGGATACCTTCGTTTCAACAAACGTTTTCCAAATTTGAAAAAGCTGATATTTATGCCTCTGCTGGGCGAGCAAATTAAATTTTCTGCATATTTTGATAAGAATAATGTCAAACAAGAAACAACCTTGTATCTTGTAGAACCATCAATGTTATTATAGTTAAAATAAAAGTTATGCTGCATGTTTAAAGGGCAAAGATAGACATTTGAAATGCTGTTGACAATGCAAAGTCGCTGAAAACGGAAAAGAATGTATGATGTAACTGTCACACAGTTTCATAAAATGATAATAATATGAAAAGTGTCACAACAAAAAATGGTATCAGAAAGGGGCAAAAGCCTTCCAAAACCATCAGAACAATAACTGTACATTTATTGCTTTGCTGAAGAGTGATGGATAAATGCGGGAGGTAAAAAAACTCTAAAAAAAATTCTTTCCTAATTTATAAAATTCTTGATTCCCCTGTTGCTTTCCTAATTTTCTTTCTCTAGATACTGTCAAGAAAAGGAAAGGGTCATAATAATGGGTCTACATGGTGAACCATTCCAAATAGCATTGAAACATTAAAATTTTTAAAAAGTGCTGAGATGAAAAGGCAATAAAGAACAACCTTGTTCGCCGGAACAAAGATTTTGGTAGCAGAATTTCTGTTGTAAATAGTTGAGTTCTTATTGGTACGTTGGTCAGCCGTGATCAGCATTGCAGTGTCGTTGTAACCAATTGCATCGAATGATGCTACGTTGCTATCCACTGACATTATCTGCTCACTTACAAAGTATTCTAGCTTTTGCCTCAAGGCTAAAAAAATTGAAACTGTTATTGAATACATGTTTCTAATGCACGGCAAGTCATGAAGGAATGAAGCTCAAAAGATTGATATCAAGACAAATTGCATGATCATTTCTGAATCTCTCAAAATGATTACAATTTGAATAACAGACTCTCAACATTTTACGTCATGATGTCAAAAATACTGTTCAGGGATGCTTTTATTGAGCAGAATATCAGTTATCGTGTTTATATTTTTGCATTACAAAATCATTTTTTGCACTGAATTGTTCTTCGTTTATTGCATCTTAGTCATGCTAATATTTCTATGCATACAGTTGAACATCAGATTCTATAAAACCGACAATGGAAGAGCATGCATTTCTTTTGGTAAAATATTTTCTTTTTTCATTTAGATAAATTGTCTCTATCTTTTAACGGAATGTGAGCGTAACATTTGGCACATTTACTTTTTTGTACTTTACTTTTACTTTCCGCGTTTTCCACCAAAGAAAATAACACAGAGCGAACAGCTTGACTCGTGTTTTAGTGTAAATACAATCAAAATAAATCCTTCCTATTTCCTCGACATGGTAGCTATTCAAAGAACGTTACATTTCAAATTGAAGCTTACTTACTCTGTGTTGATTCTACGTAGCTATCAATTGCCTGTTGCTGCTTCATTACCGATGCATTTAGCTTTGAAATCATTGGATCTAGTGTGCCTTTTGCTGTCAAGTAATGTTGTTGAAGATTGTCGACACCATCGATCGACTTAGCCGTTACATTTTCTGAAAAGCAAGGCAGATTTTGTTACTCGAATTAACCTAATTCAATCCTGTATACAGGCGGAATTGCTGTAGCCTGCTAGTTATTTCAAGGTATAATAAAAGAAGTGGTCATTTCAAGAAATATGGTACAGGTATATATATAAATATAATTTCAGCGCAGTTATCATATTACGAAGGTACAAAAGAGTAGATAGCTAAAAAGAAAAGTGAAGCTAAATAGCTATATATTTTGACAGTTTCAATATACTAGCTATATATCTAAAAGATTACTTATCAAAATTACTGTTTTACCAATCGTCACAAAGTACTGAATGCTGTATAGGCAGAGCTATGCATACCTTGGCCCATAGAGCAGAACAGTATACTTATAAATGCAATCAGAAACACTTATATACACGAGCAAAAATCTTATACCTTTCAGATGAACATCGCCAATGATGATTTTCTTGCTAGTAACAACGTTGTCTCTGTCAGTAAACATCGAGGTACGGTTAATTTCGTGAAGGTCCACACCACTTATTCTTCCTTCTGCATTCAAATCACCTTCAACGACAACATCTTCAAACATCTTTTTACCAGTGACAACTTGCTTTCCACTTTTCAAAAACAGGATTTCTTTAGAAATGTTCACCCCATTCACCAATCCATTGATCCTCATTTCAGGTATGTGGAGGTCAGTGGCAAATTGCATTGGGCTTGATATTATCTGGGTTTTGTTCAAATACACAGCATTTTTCGCTAGCTCAGACACATCGACCCCATCAACTGTTGATCCTGGACTAACACTGAGGTCTCCTTCAATACGAATGCCATTTTCAAAGGTCTTTTTACCGTTAACAGTTTGATTCCCTGACAAGAGTACGAGGTCCTGTGGAATTTCAAATCCATTAACCGTTCCATTAACAATCAAACTGCCTTCAAAAGTAGTTTTCTTTGTAAACGTTTTAATTCCATTGATAATGTGCTTGCCATAGATTCTCACTGTCCTTTTATCAAGTTCTGACAAATCGATTCCATTTATAAGGCCTTGCACATTTACATTATTTCCAACGTCCATCCTCTTAGATTTGAATTTCTTGAAAATCTTTTCTCCCAGAATTGTCTGGTTTGTACTTTTTGTAACAACATTTTGACTGAAATCAGTGATGTTAATGTCGTTGACTAAGCCTGATATTTGTATTGGATCGATAAAAGTAATGTTGTCTTTAAAGACGTAAGAACCTTGGATAATTTGGTCACTATCTACATCAAGTACTGTTTTGCTGAGTTCAGTGATATTGACACCATCCACCAGCCCATCTACAGTAAAGTTCCCGAGAATGATGACGTCATCAGAAAATGTTTTCTTTGCTTCGATAACCTGCAAACCGTTTAACTTGACGGCATCTTTATCCAGTTGGCTTACGTTCACCCCGTTGATCAACCCAGTCACATTCATGTTCCCCCTGATCAACATATCATCTACAAAGGTTTGACCTGCCATTGCTTCATTTCCATGCAACTTAACAACATCTTCTGATACATCAATGTCGTTTATTGTCCCATTCAAATCCACGTCTCCCTTTACAGTCAAGTTCTTAAAGGCGAGTTTTCCTAATATAGTTTGATTACCAACTTTATACAAGGCATCATTTTGAAGCCTATTTATATCGATGCCATTCACGAGACCAGAAACCTCGACATTGCCTTCCACTGTGACGTCCGAAGAAAAATTTACCTGACCATGAATTTTCTGGTCCCCATCCAAAGAAACAGCGTTCAAAGAAAGTTCGGTTAAATTGACATTATCTACTCTTCCATCTACTGTTAATGAACCAGTAACCGACACGGAGCTTGCAAATGTCTATAAAGGGAAAGTATAATTTTTTAATGATCTCAAAACAAAACAATTTAAATTATCGATTCGCAAAGGGTTCTTGTGGCTCTTTATTGAAACGTGAAAAGCAAGAGAGTAGCAGCACGACAAAAAACCTTAAAAGATGGAAGTGTTTGAAGTTTTGAACATTGAAAAGTTATTTTACTAAAACCAGTTCACAGGAAGAAAGTATAAAGCATATGGCTGCAAAAACTGGAGTACTTCGTGCAACATACCTTTCTTCCAGTTATGACTTGGTCTCCTGTGATTCTCATCGCATCTTCATTCAATGCAGTCAAATTATACCCATTGATATTTCCACCAGTGTTCAAATTCCCAGTGACGACGAAGCCTTTCTCAAACGATACGTCACCCCTTATTATTTGGTCACCAGACTTCCGAATTAGGGTTCGGTTGAGCTCTGTAATATTCACTCCGTCAATCAAGCCATGAACAGTCATTTCATCCACAAATAAACTTTCAACATGAACAGGTCCTCCAAAGGTTTTATGTCCGCGGATTTCTTCGCTTCCTTTCAGCAGTACAAGATCATCAGGTATCTTTATGCTGTTCAACGACTCTGTAACATTTAAATTTTTCTTGACTCTGATGCCACTTTTAAAGGTTTTCTTCCCAGTGATCACTTGGTCTCCGGTCAAACGTAATGCAGTTTGATACAGTTCTGTTATATTCTGGCCATTTACTGTCCCCTCTACTTTGACATCGCCCATCATAGCAATAATATTTTGAAATGTTTTCACGCCACGAATGATGCCAGGATTTTTCAATAGAACCATGTCTTGAGGAACACTAACATCATTTAAATACCCAGCTACATTCAAGTCATTTAAGATGTAAAGTTTCTTTGTGAAGGTTTTTGTACCAGTTATGTTTGCTGGTGTGTTTGTTTTCACGGTTTTGTCAGTAAGATTCGTCAGCAATTCAAGTATATAGCAACTGCTGTTGCTTTTTACTGTCATGTCGTTTACATTCATTCTTTCAAATACCTTATCTCCGGTAATTGTTTGTGGAATGTGCTTGTACATCGCATTTTCAGCTAATTCTGAAACATCGACCCCATCCACAGTCATATTTTCCTCCATCATTATGTCCCCTTGTACTTCCAAGTCATTATCAAAAGTCTTCTGACCAGTTATGACTTGGTCATCACTCACCGTCATCAAATCACCTGTGAAAGAAAACACAACCTTTTCTAGCTGGAAAATCATTCAACTCCATCTTATTCTGTGCTTTCTGATCTTTGGTTTCAGAGATCCACGAATGACTTCATTTTGCCTTTTCTTTACCATTTAGTTTAAAAGTGGAAGCAATTTAAATTACAAGAAATGTTGTTATGGGTATTTGATAGAGAAACTAAGAAAATTACCTGTGCCTACATGTACATAATAAGGTTGAATGTATGATAATTTATGTACATCAATTGAACCTCGAATCTATTGTTGTTAAACCTTTATCCTCTAACGCTTTCATGCAAATCATTATCTTGATTGTATTTCAAGATTACAACCTTATCATAGTTTGAAGTTTCTTGTTGAAAATTTAAAAAAACCAGTAGTTACCTGAGATATTGACTCCGTTTACCAAACCAGCCACATCAATATTATCATGCAAGGTTAAATTTCCAATGAAGACTTTGTCTCCAGTGATGACCTGGTCTTTCGAAAGGTAAACAATATCTTTCGCGACATCAATACCATTTATCAAACCTTCTACCCGCAATGCATCATTGAACGATACATTGCCGTTGAAATGGATTGATCCAGTGATATTTTGGTCTTTAGTTCTGCTTAGCACATCCTGGCTTAGTGCTGAAACATCAACTCCATCTACTAGCTTTCCAGGCGCCATGATCAAACTACCTTCGACATCAACATCACCAGCAAATGTTTGGCGTGCTGTTATGTTCTGCGTTGAATGGAGCAGAACTGCATCTTCGTACAGTTTGGTCAAATTTCTGCTGTTGACTAGGCCCACTGTCATATCTTTTTCTAATGTGACGTTATCTGAAAAGTTGTAATTACCTGTTACAGTCTGGTCGCCCCAAACAGTCATCAGTTCCTGATGAGAAATATTATGTCCGTTAACAAGGCCTCTGATTTCTAAATTCTTCCATGAACTTCCACTTGCGTTAAAGGTGACATCACCAGCGAATGTTTTTCGCCCGAAGATAACTTGGTCTGTAGTTAGGAGCACAAGGTCTGAAGTGTTGACTCCATCGATTTTCCCATTAACCGTAAGACTTTTTCTGAAAATAACATCATCAGAAAATGTTTTGTTTCCCCAAATAGTATAACTTTGATCGATATATAATGCATTATTAGCTAATCTATTAACATCGATGTGATTCACAGTGGCAGAGACCTTTATATCGGCTGCCGTCAACGAATTGATTACAATAGGTCCTGTGAACTCATAATCACCCGTTACAACTTGACTTTTAGTCTTGCTTAACAACTTTTGTGACTCAGCTAGAAGCTTTTGTAGCTCGCTTTCTCGTTTGACAATATCCAGCTGCAGTGTTCTTTGCCTGTTTATTGTCTCTTGATCTTCTGCTGAAAGCTGTACCGTGCCAAAGCTCCCGTTGACTGTTGTAATATCTCCAAGAACTGTAACATCTTCGAATGTCTTGTGGCCTAAATGGAACTTAAACCTGGTTAAGAGGCGATTTACATTGCTACTAAGAAATAAATTCAAGAAAGCATACTTTTGTGCTTCAGCCTTAGAGACCTTTCATCTTAAATGTCAGAAAGCTTTCATCTTTCATTTTATGTTTCAAGTTTTCTTCTCTCGAGTTCATCCTTACAGGTATGGCGTCTCATATCAATTTGCAAACTTAAGACGTATTGAAAAACGATATTCAAGCGCGATGAAAGTAATCTATAGTCATAAAAATTAGCAGACTACAAATGAGTCAGAAGAAGCTTCTATGCATTCTAGAGCAGTACGACAAAGCCTTGGAAGAACCTATCAAGAAATAAACAATGTAAGGAAAGGGTTTGGTCGTGAGCTTTATTCCTTTATTTTCCTCAAGTCTATTACTGTTGTCATCAAATATCAGCAATATTTATTCGATTCCTGATAGGTTACTTTCAACCTTACGCTGTTTTACAGAGTGTAACAGATCAAAGAATGTTTATAAGGACTTGTTCTCAGACTTTTCAGCGTACACAGAAGAAGTAATTCTACAACCATACCTGAAATATTGTTTGTCCCATTAAGCATGACCATATTCTGAATCATCGATTCTACTCTAGCCGAAAGCTTATTCAGTGAGCCGTTAACCTCGTGGATTTTCGACAATGTATGATTTATCATTGAAAACTTGGCAAACTCTTTAACAAACTTTACTTCGAACAGATTTGATGTTTTGGAGACATTATTTGCATAATCGCTACGATGAGCTAAAAGCATTGTCTGGTTGTCGATGCTAAAGCTGTATATAAGAGAAATCGAATGTGATGACCCAGGAAAGTCTTCTTTCGTTTTGTAGCGAAAGAACCGCCAACCATCATAACCAAAATAAGAAATAGTTCCATTGTTTCCACTTTTAAGAGCCAGCAGAAATCGGCCATCTTTTCCTACAAACAAGATAGTAGCTGACGTCACCGCATATTGTCTCGTTGAGAGTTGTGTTGGATGGAGAGAGGGGAAGGGGAATAAAGATGTGGTTCATTGAAGTGAAAACAGATAAAAATATTGGAAATCGATTTTCATGCGATTAAGGAAGTGCCTTTTAATCAATTTTATTTTGTATCTTTCTTGTGTGCTCATTATATCTATGTAGCAATTTCATAGCAATTCCAATACATACAAACTCTGAAATTCTGAAATTCCTAATGTAACATACTTGCTCACAGAGTCACAGTATATCTTGTAATTGAATATCAGGCAGTACCAGCATTCCCCTTTACAAAGGAATTATTAAATGTCAGAGCTTTGGGAAAATTCGAAAATAACGCTAGTCCAAACTTAATCATCTTAATAATTTTTAGTAATGTATAATGTATTATGATCATAAATGTCAATGCAATTTGTTTCTTTTAATAGCTCTGAAATATGCGCGAAAGAAATATGCTAAATGCAAGGCATTTTCGGCATGACGTGTATAACAAAGTACTTCGTGTAAATTGCTATCAATGCATGAAGGTTTTTAGAGATCGTCATCAATTTATTGCGAAAATTGGCAAGTCCAACCATCCAACTGACCTTTATGCTGAAAAATGTATTGAAAAAGTCCAATTTTCTGGTCATTTATAACATGACGGGAGTGATAGGTTTGTAACCTGATTTTCCTTACCATTCAACAAATATATCCAATAAAAATTCGATAAATGTGCTACCTTTAATTGATTTCCATTTCTGTGCATTTGTAGTTTTTATGCATTGAAACGGCACAAACAGATTCCAGTTCCATTTATAAATAACAGATTCTGTTTCATAAAATCTTCGTTGTTTTGAATCAACTTTATACTTGTTTGCAACAGCTAAAAAGTATTCCGTTGTTAGGCCTTCGCCAATTGAGAAGAACTCCCAGTCATTTGCAGCCTCTGTTCTTAGTTTCTGGAAAGATTCAAAAGCTCTAGCTGTTGGCGAATAGATGAAGATTTCAGAATCAATTTGAGTTTCCCCTTCGTCATTTTTGGAATTTGCAACAGCCAGGAAACTTTTGTGGTGAATGGAAAATGCCTCAATGTCTGTTGCACCATAGACTTCAAGTTTGTTATTCAACAGGAGCTGGAAGGCGTTATTCTCCCACACATAAATCTTTGGATTTGTTTTTACACTGTATCCTAGAAAATGGGAAAAAATACGTCTTTTTTAAAGTATACCTTGGCCTAGTAAATCTTAAACATACTTTTAGAAAGGTTATTGTGCCAATAATCATGACCCACTTTCTTAAACCTAAGTAACATACTCCTTTTCGTTTAAAACTTGATTTCCAAACAACCTTTAATAATTCAATGTCTACATAGGATAGATCTTGAATACCAGAGTAGAACAATGGTAATTACACTGACAGTGCCAATCGTGTGCTATAAAAGAGATAAATGCATATCGAGCCGCCAGTGTCCCTGTTCCGATAAGAGAGAGCCATATTTTAGATAGAAAGCAGGAAGAGAGTGGGCTAATGATAAATCAGCCTGTGTGAAAGTAGCCTGCGCGAAATCTAGTTGACTGGAAATTGAGTTGATTGGAAAATTCAGTGTTTCTATTCCACTACCTCTACTGGGAGACAAACCCTAAATTTTCCATTCAACTAAATTAATCTCTGGGAAAACCAGTCGAGTCTGCGCGCAGGCTAGTGTGAAAGAGATTGGAAATTAAAGCGGCAATTGGGTTCAGAATACGGATTTGGAGTTTTGCAAATTTTGCCATGTTTTCTTGCAGGGGTTTGAATGCCTTAAGCTAACATTTAAACAGACTGAAACGATTGTGGGCAAGTCTGGTCATTTTCAGCCATTTTAAATGACTGTTTGACATCTTGTGCAAACTTTCATTTCATTTTTATTACAAAAAGCGTACGCGCCATTTTTCGGTAATCTGCTTATTAATCCAAGCTTATTGAACTTAGAACTTTATTTCACAAATCGTGTTTAACAGAAACATAAAGACGAGAATGTTTTCCTATTTACATTCTGTTAAATAGAAGCGAGATTAAAACATCCCAGTTCACGTTAAAACAAGAAAACAAGAAAGTCTTTTGAAAACAATAACCTAGTTAGTGAAGTTAAATCTCAACTTTTCCCCAACGCTCCAGCTTAACTTTTGCAATACTTTCATTTGAAGACTCTCAAAGTAACTTGTGGACCCTTAAATATTTTAAATTTCAATCTTCCTGAGGTATGTCAACCAAAATCTGCCTCCAGGGCTTGGATTTTTTAAGGCTTTTGTATATATGATACTTTATAGCTAGACGTTTTAATACAGGATTTCAAACTCTTTTAGTAGTATTCCAGGTCTTCTTGTATTCTGAACAACAGAGTAAATGGTTGAAACTCATTATTATGGACATTTAAGTAAATCTCAAAGCAGCCACGTTGCTGCGGGGGGCATGATAATTTTGGCAACAACAGGCCTCCTCTGGCTACAGTTTTTCCAAAAGAACTTTTGAAAATTTGGCATATTTATAATTCCGTGATCTTGATTTAGTCCAAATATCTATGTTTGTTTTATATCTGTTTTCTTGTTTTAAAGCCTGCCCCCCTCAGGTATGGTTCTTGCTTGAGTTTGGCCCCTTAGGCAACATATACAGCTACGTGGTTGTCTCAAAGTTCCATATGATTGCTTAACTGAAGCAAAGCTTTTTTAACGGAGCAAAGGGCTTGCAATCTCTCGCCAAGTCTATAAAATACATATGGACGTAGATATTAAAATTTCTTTATATCTACACAGACTTACTGTCACAAACATGCACAATAGTAAGATATTTTGTGAACACCGGGCAAGGATCTGGTACCCCATCTGGTGGAGCTTTTATGGTACAGGAACTTCTGTTGTCACACAAAGCAGCAATGGTGGGAAACACTGTTGGTGCAGAACACTCATTGATATTGAAATACCAGCCGTGGGCACACACAGACCAACTCTTTCGCCCGTAGAAAGCAGACTTTATTGTGATCCTTGCGTCAGGTGCGCACTTCAAGATGGCAGTGTTCGTATCACAGGCTGTCGTTGTTATTTCCAATCCAGGAGCTATAAAAAAGATTTATTTCATCAAATGGTTTTTGCATTTCTCAAGACAGACGAGAGCACTGTGCATTTGAGAGGTACTTGGGACATACCACCTAATATTGTATCGGCTGTTATGATTTTCTTGGTTAGTTATGGTGAAGTTTTGTCATTTGCAGTGTATGTACAGAGCCAGAGTATGTATTGACCCTTCTACTATACTGATACTTTGCTAAGGAGCATATGGTGCATTCTACCATGAGACACGGCCCAGGGCATTGTGGATGGTGGGGCGAGGGGCAAAGTCCCAACCAGCATCATCATGTTGAAAATTTTAGTAAAAAAGGCCCCTTGTATGGAAAAATTGCTACGTATCATCACAACATAACTTCTTAATCCCTGTAAAACCTACTAGTTCTGGTATAAAGGAGCCTTTTTATACAGGGGCCGCAGAAGCAGGGGAGGGAGAATGTGAAAGATAAGTCCTAATTTTCCAAGGTATACTTTAAACAATATAAAACTTCGTCTTGCTTTCTTTCTCAGCATTTTTAGCCCCTCAAAACTGTTTAGGCCCTTCAATCCTCTGCAATCCATGGTTTCACATTATTGCATTTAATTACTTACATTGGCTAGCATGTGCAATAAAAGCAGCATGAGGCTTTCCATGGACTTTGAATGTTTTCACTTTCTCGTGTGATGATACGGGGATGATAATTTTGTCGCGGTCATCAAATGTATCTGTCTGTTTATTGTACCTCAGAACCCTAGAAACGCTTGCTTCTAGGTAGGGTACTTTGAAGCCTTCTCCTATGACCATGAGGTGATCTTCACCCTTACTGAAAACGTCGAAGCAATAGGCTGAATGTAAAGGAATTGTTGGACCATGAAGAGAAAACGTCTGTCTGGTTTGGTTCCATTTGAACACGTGCAGTTCTGTCATGTATGCCACGGCAAAGTAATGCTTTTTTTCTATCGTGAATTTTTTGACGTCACACGGCTCGAGAAGTGATACTTTTGGCAGTGGGTTAAAGTGCTTCAATGTGTAGCTTTCTGAAAAAAGAATGTTTCAGTCAAAAACGAGTAAACGGACTAAATTATTAGTGATTTCATCCGGCCATTGACAGATAACTTGAGATGTTTAATTCACTTATTAGCTACCCATGAATTGCTTGGGGGTATAATGTTGAATGACCCTAGCTTCTGGCTCTGCTAGGCAATACGGCTTGCACTGTTCCTTTTCGTAAAGAAAAAACCATTATATTTCTACATCATCCTTGGGGTATTATCTAACAACCGTTGATGCAAGTAAACAAAAAGATATACAGGGCGTTAAGAAACAAAGTTATCTTTAAGCGCACCATCCTTGGTTTAGTTAGGTTGCAATGTGTTGCATGGACCATTGTTAGTTTGCAAGAAATGAAAGTGGCACATGTTCTTTGGATAAGTCGCGATAACTTCTCATTTTCTAAATGAACATGCCTCTTTCTATATTTAAATTATCTGTAGAGATCCATACAGACCTGCCATGCATGGAAATACATTACAGCTCCGCGTTTCTTTGGAATTTCCAAGCAAAGAGCAATTATTTCCACCATTCGCCGGGGAAGGGTTGTTACACGTGCGAATTCTTTGTTGTGTACCACCACCACAAGAGACACTGCATGGGCCAAATGTAGACCAGCTAGAGTACCCACCATCTAAGGGTGCTGATGAATTCGATGTCTCGTCTGAAAAGTTAAGACACGATATTGAAAGTTGGAAAGTCACTAAGTTTCGAATGCCTTGTTTCGATATGCAACACTTAACTGCTAGAAAAGGGTTCAACGTTAAACAAAGACTAGATATCATCTGTTATAATGACATAATTTCTCTTATCGATATCTAATTACATCTAAACAGAAATTTGCACTTAGCAAAAAGTGCACTGAAAGGGTTAGCTTTGAAGTTTTCAGGATTTTTCTAATGAAGCAATGCTGCCTTAGGAGTCACTCTCTTGAGACTGGGTTCAGTGTAACTAGGATCAGATATCCTCGAAGTCACACTAAATTGTCAAACGAATTGCTTTGAGACAGTGGCGTAGATGGGAATATTCATGAGAAGGGCGAGAAACTTATATTTCCGACAAAAATCTAATAAGCATTTATATTGTATAACATAGCGACATCAGAACTGAAATTAAAAACTTGTTTTGTTAATTCAGATATTTTTATGTCTATTTAGCTGTAAAATTGTCTATCAAAATATAAAAACTAGATAAAAAATACACAACCATGCTAAATTTCACGACAGTTTTCCGAAAAATAGCAGTTTAGCTTTACAGGGGGGTTTTCCGCCCCCTCTCACCCCCTATCTACAAAAGACAAAAGCTGTATACAAACGTAAGCTAGGTTGTATAATGATGAAGTATTATGAGTTGAAACCTACTACATCAAAGGAGAAGAGAGGTGGTACGATGCCTTCCTATATCATAATGTTTTAAGCGACTCGTTTGGGTAATATCGATAACACTCACTGCTTAGTCCTCTGCGAACCCTTTGAGGTCTCTGGAAATGCAAGTATTCTCCTCCTTTGTAGGGCCTGCTCTCTCCAACTAAATTTTCTTCAACTTGCGATGTTGCATGCTCAAAATCCTCTCCAAAAAATGTTCTAAGAAATATTTGTAGTTTTTCTTGCAGAAGTGCATCGACCTTGCTTTTCAATTCGGCTGGCACCTTCTCAGCAATCGATCTGTCGTTGAAAATTCTTGCCAGTGCAGATTGGCATATCATCATCCAAAAGAACAGCCTCAAGCTGTCATTCATTTTGCGATTCATCTTAAATTTGAAAAAGAATGATATCTAAAACAGTCAGTGCAAGCTTCATATCAATGGGATTTTAACGGTCTTTAACGCTTAAGATTGGGTAATAACGTTTCCCAGTAGGAAATGATAATGTGATTGTAACTGCAAATAGAAAGAAAGACAATTTTGTCCGTAGGCAGCTTTCTGCCAGAATAGGACTGCAAACTATGTTGATTTGTATGCCAAGAAGAGGTTTGGGTATGAGCAATAATTGACATTTGGCATGCTGAAGAATTATAAAGCGTCATTTTTAAACTGTGAAGAAATTGCAAGTAGTTTGTTAAAAATGGTTTAAAAATGTAATATGCAAGACCGATTTATACAGAACTTGGTAAATAATAAGTGTGTTTTTAGGACTGACACAATGTTCATATGTAAATGTATCCCATTGTATGTGATAATTGTAATACGATACTCTTAATATACTAGAAGTGAAATGCAATTGGCGTTTTATTACTCCTCCAGAAAGAGGTCAGCATGTACACTGCTGGTCTGTTAAGCCTCCCTTTCATTGTAAAATCAATCGTGAGAAGAGTTTTGCTTCGATAAATGCTTATGAATTTTTCCTTAGTTCTGCTGAGAATAAAACCGCTCAGCACTCTTCATAACAGCTTTCAAGAAGAACTGTCACGGAAACATTAGAATTGTAGCAAATTCAGCAGATGGCAAAAAAGAGCGAAAACAATGCATAATTCATCACTCACAACACCTTAATTCAGCATCTGTAAAAAAATCTTTAACAAAGCCTCTGATTCCAACCATTCATTAAAAAAGAGCTTTTTTGAATTACTTTCTTTCAACGATACTTGAATGCATCAACCTTTATAAAGAAAGTCACAAATTGCTGGCCTTAAATATAAGAATTACTATGGAGAAAAAACAAACGAAAAGTTTTTGCTCTGCTACTGTTATGGCAAAAGATTGTTGTACCTTCGTTGCAGTGACCAATCAAGACAAGGCGATCCATTCAAACTTTAATTGATTAAAGTAAATATATTATTGAATCAACAATTTTTTTTCGAATTTTAAAAATGGCTTTAAAAAAGCAAACATTTCACAACATACGACTTAAAGCTTTTTCGTCTGACACTCTTCAAAGCATAAAACGTCAATATCATGTTTCGAAAGAACACAATGGGAAGTATATTCCCAGACATAATACATAATAGATCATGTACATAATAAGATAAACATTGTTTGCTTTTTTCAAAGCCATTTTAAAAATTCTGTTCTGTACTGACAAATAACTGTTCACATAATTCAGTATTTGCAGCTTTTGCCAATTTTGGTCATATTTTAGCTTAGTTTATAATCATCTTGTTAAAATATAGTCATCATCTTAATTTATAATCAAACAAGATGATTTAGTATCATCTTGTTTGCGGCCTAAAACAGTTGCAGTAATGCAGAACCACATATCAGAGAGCATTTTTAACACACTATTTTGGAGGGCAATCGCCTCTCCAGCCTCAGTGTCCATTCATTGTTTAAAATCAATAGGTTATTTACTTTCTTTTTCCAAGAATAAAGGTTCCCCCAGCTGATTTCCCTTCAAAAAGGTTATTTCACAGACCCCCTAGTGAACCCCGTCCAGCTTTGCTAAGATTTTATTACCTGAAACCATGAATTCAAGGCGTATCTGATTGTGGATTCGGAAACAGTCAAGCTGCATTATGATAATGGATTCGCGTAGGTGTCCAGTTCTACTTTTATTATGATTCAATTTTGACACCAGCTGCTGAGTGCATTTTCTAGGTGATGTTTTTCTGTTTTGATACCAGATTCGATGCAATTGACTGATCTCAAAGGATTAGAGCATATGAGGTCTTTCATATCTCGTGGGAGAAAGAAAGAGCTTACCAGCTGTTGGTATCTTTGAGTTGTCCCTAGAGAACAACGTGCATTTCTATGCAAAAAGCAGCAATGCTTAAGTGTTTATCATCGAGAGTTAACAGCAACAAAAACTCACCAACCCCGAATGTGATTGAGTTTTAAACTTATTACATCTTTATAACTTATTGTTACTGATTATATTGATGTTTCTTATTGGTAAACACTAAGAAAAACAAGTGACATAATTACCAAACGACGTTTTGCATTTGCTAGAAAACATTAAGATTTTGAGTAGGTCTCTGGTAGGAAAAGGGAAGATTAACTGGGCAGGGCACCTTTAATAGCTCACAAAGCCATTAAGTAGAAATGATTTATCAGATTTATCTTTGGCAAAAACTGCACGGAATGAAGATAGAGTGACACGTTGCCCTATACATACTACCAATGGGGCGATTTCTGAGTGGCGAGATTCAAAAGATGAACCAATCAACTACTTTAACATGTCACTTACAGGCCTAGATGAAAAAATATATAAAACTGAACTATGAAGACGTGAATGTAATTAATGTTCTAATTTGGCTGGTTAATAAACAAACAAATGCTCTAACCCTTATAAAGGCCAAAAACAGTCCTTCGTGCTTTACGTCAATACTTCTTCAAAAGAGGCCCCCTCTTTCCAAAGAGAAAGGCCTAAAGTGATACTAAGCATTAAAAAGAAGGTATTTTACTTACACTTCTTCGCCAGGGCCCTTGCGCCTACTCTCTAAGCACAACTACTGTACGCTATAAGAGTATAAGGGAGGTGACTACAGAATCAGCAGCTTGACCACGGACTGAAAGAGTGCAAACTCGTCTCTTAGCCTTTTAAATAATTCCTTCCACAAAGGGCTGGGTTTAAATTGTAATATCGACTGAATTAAGAACGAAGTTCTGCTGCATGTGAGGAAAAATTCTATTACAATTTCATCTCAAGAGAATACTAGTAATGCTTTATAGAAAGAATAAGGAAGACCTCTTTATTCAACGTAAAAGGGTAAGTGAAGGCACATGCACCATGTTACAAAAGAAAGTTTGGGCCAATTCTTCACACCCTCCCCACTGGGAGCAAGATCCCATGAAGCATGAAAAAACAGGAACGAAGCCTTGGCAAATCGAATACATTCTGGCACGGTCAGGTTTTATCGGAAAGGTATCTATGACACCTAGATGAAATGAAGACTCGAAAAACTATAAAAATACCAAAAAAAATATAATTTAATTTAATTAAAAGATGAATCTACGAAGAGGCCTACGAAGTAAGCAAGGATATTCTTTCGATGTTTATTGGCCTCTTCTAGGCTCCACTTTAGCCTTTTGGCAGCTCCTCCTTAAGAATTTGCCTCCATACAATTGATCTTCTTTTCTTTATTTCCTTGAATTTATATTGTAACAATTTCACTCACCGATGTATGCTTTTTATGTAACATCGTCTTATTTTCTTGTAGTTTAGCTATTTTGTTTGTTTAATAGCGATAAATTGAATGTAGTGGAATTGAAAAATAAGAACTGAACTGAAACTGAACTTCTGGAAACTAAATATTTGAGAATGATTACGCGTTTAGTTGCATTAGTTGCAGCAAGTCCTAGCAAATATCTGTAACCAATCAACATTAAAATTTCGATTTATCTCATTATCAAAATTTGTTGCAAAATATACAAAAGCAATGGCTCATTACCAACAGTATCAAGTCTATTACAAGGTTCAATCTCTATGTTGCAACAAAAGTTGTGTACATGTTTCGGAGACAAAGTGCCGATTCGTGATTTCAAACTATGCAGAAACATCATAACTAGTCGATCTCTCGTTTAATAAGCTCCATGTAAAGAAAAGTTACCTCAGTTGCGTTGGTAGAAGGGGGTCAGAGGGGGCTTGAAACCCCCTGCAAAGCTAAACTGCTATTTTGTCGAAAATATTTCTGATGTTGTCAGAAATATAACATAGTTATCTATTTCTATATAAGTATTCCATTTTAAGAGGAAAGATTTTAAAGCTGAATAACGACTTCCTTCGTTGTGCGGAATCAGATTGGCAATCTCTTTCAATAGGGTATGATACTTAAAAATACATTTATTGATGAGGCGAACAGAAACTTTTTCAGTTTGTATGATATATGACACTTAACTTTGAATAAAGGATAAGAGTTTATCTCTCGTTTTGTTTTATTTCAGATCTGATGTCGTTATGTTATGTTCAAATATGAGAAAAATTAAAAGTGCTTATTAGATTTTCGTCGGAGGATCTAAATTTCTCGCCCCTCTTATGAATTTTCCTTTCTACGCTACTGAGTAACCTGGTAAAATGGCGATGAATTTGTTGGCATTTGTTGCATCTGTGACCCATTAAAACGGGAAAAATGCTCTGGTTAAATAAAAGGAAGTTAATTGCGAATTTAAGCTAATATTTTGTATTTAAAGTAACTCTGGTAAACAAGAAAAAAACACCGTGGCAGCGGATATGTAAGAAGGAAACCGCACTTAAAAGTGCTTGAGTAAATTTCCCATACTTTTCTGTTCACATGATCTAAACAAACAGATGAGTAGCCGCATTACAAAGGTGCTTGTTGGTTAGCGCATGCGTTAATCGGTGACGGAGTCTTTCATGTTGCTTCCGTGCATGGCGCGATATAGACTTATTCAACGATACAATGAAATTAGTTGGCAGTAAATCTGCAATGCTGCACAGATTCGAACCAACGCATTGACGTCAGATGGGAAGGAAATGCAATGCAATCCAGAACTGTTTGAACAGCACGCTTTTGGCACATTTCGATTTAACTTTCAAGACTGTATTGAAAACTTTCATGACATAAAAATCTCAAAGTAATTTTACACACAAAATACAGGATATAAAAGCGTGATTTTCATCTGTTTCTTAATTCAAAACAATATCCCAGTGTATGCAATCCTTTAGATTTTTGTCACTGGGTCATGTCTACAACTTGCCATTGCTTTGCATTGTTGAAATTTTGCCCACATTTTGCCACAACAGAAAGGAAGAAATCATGTTTAGCTCAGATTTGACCTATGCTTCAAAACCAAGTAAAGATGAAGATGATCATGGCGTAGCTGTTGTTGACGTCTATTCTTCATGTTAGCCCAAGCCTTTAATTCGTTTTAGTTAAATAAGTTAATATTGGGAGAGAAATGGCGACATAGTCACAGGTGCTTCCCAACATATAACTGTAATTTGACCTGTGTTCCATTTTTTACGAGGCAAAATAACCGTTGGCAAACGTCGAATCATTGTCCACCTTGCACCATTTTTTTTTCACAAAGTTAACTTATTTTTACATTATGAGGTTTTTCACGGGGTCCTTTCAGGCTGGCTGTCAAATATGAAAAATTTAAAAAACATATTTGATGACTTCACACTTAAGAACCTATTCTGAAAATAAGGAGCAGATGCTCAAAAGAATGGGCACCGAACCTAACGACAAATGATAAACGACAAGTCAACATTTCATTTCTTTTGCCCGCGCAGCCTCTTTGCCATAAGTTGGCAATTACTTCCTCTGTAATTCAATGTCGGTTCATACATCTTTGAGGAAGAATGCACGCATACTGACAGGGAAGGTAAAGAAAAAATTATCAAAATTAAATTCATTAGTGGAGACCCCACAATACAAACACAATGTTCACCCTAACCCAAATAATGTTTACAATCTCAAGAGGCAATATTTACACCATAGGTACATTACAAGCAGCTTAATAACTATAGATTCTAAAAATGAAGCACGATTTACTAACAATAAATACACAAACCTTCGATCAGTCCTTAATTCTACCTAACATTCGACATCAACAAGCTGTGGCTGAATGGTTATCAAATTTCATTACAAAGGCAACTTTTACTGTACATCATATTGTTTTGTGTCTTTTATGAGGGAAGAGGTTTGTATTTAATCTATTGGTTAAATGGAAAGAAGAAATCTCAAGAATCCAGGCTGCCAATTCTAGATTAAATTTTTAAAGGTATATGTCCAAATAGTTGGTTTAAAAATGCTATGGGCTAATGATAAGTTATGAAAAATGATCTTCACAAATCATTTGTTTCTAACAATTGCTAGCCCTTGGTGCCAGGTAAATGCCACTATGCAAAACTTCCCTGTCTTAAACTTCTTTGATATCAACTGGTAATAATTTATTAAAACAATTTATTAAAAATATTTTTTACTATTTTCTTTGTGAACCAGCAAATCTCAACATTGAAGAGATTACTTTCACTACACTACACACTTTTTTACAGAAAAAGTAGTCACTGTTGTTTTCAAAGATAAAACATATCACGAAAATTGAAGATGTTGTATTTCTTTTCAAAGTTCCTAAAGAAAATTGTATAAAGTTTATCTCTGATTATACATTTACTGGAAAAAGGAAAGGAAAGATTGATTTTGAAACTAGGTCATTTTGAATTGGTTTCAAGAGATAAAAGATGTCTGATACAAAGAAGGTAAAACTATCTTATCAAATGTTGAGCTTTGAAGGACTTTGTTCTTTGGATAGCCTGATGGTATCACATTAACAGTGAAATGATTAATAAATTATATTGCATATGCTACCAGCACAGCAAAAAGCTGGGATCTTGACTATTTGCCAGCCTAATTCTTGGTCTTTGACAGAATCAACACATTTGACTGTTAAAACAATCCAAAAATTTTGCATTTCAATAAAATCAATTAACGTAAATATTGGAAATTTATACAATTTTTAAGAAAATTTTATCGTTTTGTAAGAGGTAACTATTCAGTTAGTAAATATGCATAGCAAGCAATTAGCATGTCAAGAAATTAAAAATTTAATACAACAGAGATGCTACATCACATTTGAATTCAACAATCTCTAAATTATGACTCTTGTTGTTTAATTACAGGGATGAAAAGAATATACAACATACAAAGGTATCAATAATTAAATAGAATGCACAAGACAAGCATTACCAAGAATAAATACATATATATACACAACAAGTGTACAGAGGAAGAAGCAAAACAATTAGCTCTACAGGTTGAATAGGGCAAACAATGAACTACAGCATTGCAGAAAATGAGCAGTGAAATACAATCAAGTTGCTTCTGTAGCTTGAGCTAATTTGTGAGCTATTTTAGAATCTGCTGGAGCATTTTTCACAAGGATAACACGGTTGTGGGCTTTGAGTCTTTTGAACAGATGAAAGTATACCTTGCACTGAACATACATGAACACAAGGCCACCTGCAAAACCAATAGCAACCACAACAAGTTTTGTCCAGAATGGCCACTTGAGTTGCTCATTGTTGATCTCATCAGCTGTTCTTTCAATAAGCACCCACAGAGACCATACAATGCAGGTGATTGCAATGATATGGAAGGAAACTGAGCACAACACTTTGCGCCTTTCACCTTGGGTCATCTCAAGAGCTTGCCACTGTAAATGAATGGCATTTTATAAATATTCCTTCATATTTAGGTTTGCAGTTCAATGCAAGACGATGTTACTAGATGATGTTACAATTATGACTTTTAGCTTTCTCTCTTAGGACTTTATCATACAATTAGCTTTTCTGCTTATAGATTTGATGGCATCTTGCTAAAAGTAGCACTTTGGATTTACAGTGGGGTACATGGGTTCAAAATATATTTTTAGGGGATTTCTAAGATAGGTATTGCCATACAATACAAGGATATTTATCATCTTGCTTGCAAGAAAGAAAGCATATGTACCTTGTTGATTGGCTTCATTTCAGCATCAATGTGAAACTCAAATTTGCAAAGCTCACATGATCTGGTATCAATTGCTTTAATCCACTTCTGTAAACAAGCTTGATGTACATACATTAGTGAACCTGAACAAACACACGGAGAAATTAGAGGATCATCCTTTTCTGCTTCACAATGACAGATGCGGCATATTTCATTGGAGGAAGATGTTGATGACAAAGAAGAGGCACACCTCACCACTGTTTCCTGCTTCTTCAGTTCATTCTCCTGAGAATAGCAGAGAGAATCTGTCAAAAGTAACCACTGACAGAGGAGTTTCATAACACTGGAGACAGCTTTTCAAAATTATGAGAATAATGGAGGCAGATTTAGTATTCATAAGAAAAAGAGCAATTAGAGGATGAATAATAACATGGAAGAGGAGCAAGAAGGAGGGGAACAAGAAAAGAAAGAGAAAATGATAGGATTCACTAGTTCTTAGAAGAAAAACGATATTCAGCAACTGAAAATATTTTTTCGAGAATGTTGTTCACTTGTTATCTGGAAAAATACAGGCTTATGGGCAATGAAGACTTTCCCCTTCCAAATTTTATTATTACAAAGTTTTACACAGTTGTTAGGAAGTAATAAACCAATGGCAACATTAACTAAAGAGAAAACAGGAAAGCAAAAACAAAGCTCTAACAAGGCAAGTTAAATAGACAAGCTAAACAATCAAAACAAAAAGCAGGTCTGAATTCTGAGCTGTTTACAAAATTAGTAGCTTAGGAATGTAGAGAGTCAGACAGGGGAAACAAGACAAAAATATCTGCACAGGAATGTGCCAAGAGAAACTTAAGATGCCAATAAAAACAGAGTATTTAAAGTTCACTAAGCAAACAAAAAAGGCCTTGTTGTGGCAAAGATTTTTCTTCAAGTAATAATGTAATGGCATCAAAATCTCGGCCAGATAACATGTATGTATGAAGGGTGGGCACTGCAGGAATGAAACCAGTTTTTTCATTCACCACTGAATGTGTTATCAGTTAAACGGTGTAGCTTTCTGTTATATCCTAAAATGATTGCTTATTAAAGTAAAAAAATTGACATGTTAAGGTGGAGGCTTATTTAAGGATGGGACTTACTAAAAAATTTATTTCCAGGGTGGAGGCTTATTTGGGAGGCTTATATGGGGGGGGGGGAGTCTAATTCAAAGATTTACTGTTGTAAACCAGAGGGAGAGTATTTGCTGATGAAACATGATAAAATTTAACCATTCCACTTGAGGAAAGAATGAAGTTATTTGCCATGTTTCCCAAGCATTTTCTTCCAGTTTCCTTTGCCTTTCCGGAAAAAATTGATAATGAAGTGTCCACCACAGCGTTCAGATTATCTGGGTCATTCAAATACAGACAAAATAGCAGTCCTGAAGAGTTGACCAGATGAGGACCAAAACTACACCAGATTGCCACAAACAAAATTTGTATTTTGTGTTTGTAGCTCAACGTAGAACTGGATAGAGAACAATGCAATTCAGAGATTGCAATGAAACATAATATAGAATTTATGAATAATATTGTAGATTTTAAAAAAACTATCTTGGTCTGAGGCAGGCTATCATCAAGAAGACCATGCCCACTGACATGCAGGGGCATCTTTGGTGTGCGCATGCCATATTCTGCAAACAGGGTTGGGTTGAATGTCCATGCAAATTGATGGCAAATTTCTTTTGGATAAGAAAATAACTTTTCTTTAGAAATGTTGGCAAACAGAATAAACTGTCAAAACAATTATTTGCCATTTTAGGAGATTTCAAACAAACTAATAATCAAATTGATAGTTTTGAAACATTTCTTAAAAAAAAGATTAATCTTTTGAAAAAACCATTACCAAATAAATTACAAGACAAATTCATAAAATAAAAGAATTGCAAGCTTATTTTCCAAGTTTTTCTAATTTAGCTGTTCATTCCTTTCGCATGTTTTTTATTACATTGAACAAAGAAAGACAGGCCTTATACAAAGAAATGGTGTTTGCTCAATTTTGTTGTGCGCTGATTTCGATGATATAAAGCCCGAAATCTAGCCCTGCCATGTAAACCAATAAAAACCTCAATAAGAAAAGCAACATAAATAAGAAAAACTTATTGAACGGCAATCGTCAGTTTTTCATGTAAATGGCACTTCACAAATAAATGGATATACTATTGCACCACTTAACTGACAAAAACTAAAGATGCAGAAATGACTGTCTCTCTTCATGTCTACTGAAATTTAAAGTTCTTTTACGTGAAGTTCTTCAAAGAGTTTATTTTAATTTTCGGTTGAAGGATTCTCGGAAATCAAAAAACACGGAAAAAACAATACCTGATCAACTTCTCTGATAGTAACAGTGTGAGTTTCTAGTAAACCTGTTATAGGCGAAACAACAATTTGGTGAACTGGCATTACTCCGGCGTTCACGCTTGGCTTGCTGTCAGGCTGTTGAGTTGACATGAAGCACGTAGATTTCCTCTAAGGGTGAAGTATTTTTCGATCTCTCGCGGAAATGAAAAGATTGAAGTGCTTGAAACTTTGCCCCTAAATGTGAGAGCGCACCATTTCCCATCCAGATGTCTAGGAAAGGCCTACATTTCTTGCTTCATCGTGATGCGAAAAGTATCTTTTCCTCGTGAAATGCTTGCTACTAATGAAAGAAAATTATTTAAAATCAGTAATCTTGTTTCACGATTGTCATTTCCGCTTGTAATAGAGGAAAGGCGGGATACTTTCCGTTCAATACCACAACAATCTCCCGACAATTCTTGGCAACTTTCAAGAACTGCTAACCGGATAAGCGCAATGCATCATGGATTTGTAAACAATACTTAACTTAAACACAATAGCGCACATCCACCAGCAGATAAAAGGGGTTGGCTGCCAAAAGTCTGAGGCACAGAGTTGGGAAAGGTCATTTTTACGCTTGAAAAACAAGCAACCTGTAAAGCTCCAACTTTGGCTGAAACTTAACTGTCAGTGTAGGTGCCTCAAAGCTGTCAACAGGGACGTAAATTGACGGGTTTTTTTTGGGGGGGGGAAGGGGTTGAAGGATACAAAATTTCAGACTGGCAATAAACTTCCAATTACAGAACCTTAGCATTATAAAGTTTGGTCTAATCCTTTCTGGATTGAGAGATTTCTCAGGATTTTGCGTTGTGTAATATTATCATCTGGCATAAATAAGATTCGGAATAGCGACTAAGGTTTCCCATTACTCTCTAATTTTCTGACTTCTTCGAAGAAATTCAAAGATTGGGGGATGTAGTAACACCCCATATACCCCCGGTATTTACATGACTGGCTGTCAGTTTTTTATTTTAAGCCCCCTTCTCATGCATGATTTCGAGGCAACTGCATTAAAGTTATCGGCACAACCACCAGAAGTCAGGCTTTCCGTAAGGAGGATGAAATAATGAAATTAGATAGTATTAAAACGAAAGAAATGAATCATTAGGTTTAAAGTGCTTTGAAAACCTTGACTATGAACGCAACAAGGAGTCACGAGTATGTGAAGGGAAGGACAGCATAAAAACGAGTTTTAATAAAGGCAAAGTCGTTCAATTGACTTCTAGCCGGTTGTCCTATAGAAAGAAGCATAGACCTACAAGCTAACACGGTCATTAATGAATTATTTTTTCTTTAGCTTCATTTTTAATCGGATATATTCTGAAGCCAATAAAAGCACAAGAGATGTTGGTCATTTTTATTTTAAATACAACACAAGCATTAACAATACTTTTGAATTGAACCAGTAAAAAATTCAAGTTAAATTTTCCACAATCTAGTTGAGAATGCCTTGACCTGAATATTTTACAATAGAGTCAAAGAAAATAGATGGGAATCTTCATTGAAATTTTCTAGTTTGACATCAAATAACATTTTATCGATTTTGCCGTGATATTTAGGAATTGGATTTTTTCTATGACAATTGAAAGAAGTACTTAAGCAATTCCTGTTGATACTAAGATTTCACGAAATTTCATTGCAATCGTAAAATTTATTGCAATCATAAAATATCATTGTTTATAAATCATGTTTTAGAACCATTAGCGCCATAAGTCTGCCCGCATAGCTATGGTCTTCGCGACTAAGGCGTGTGACACAGTGAATCATTCAAAGCAAATTAATCATCATGTTAGATTCAGCCTTTCAAGAAAGAAGAAAAATTTTGGGTTATTCTTGGCAATGTCGATGTTGAGTCAAATTTAGCAATGTCCTTTCCTTGGTAATCAAAGAAAAAAAACTGATTTACAAAGTAAGTTCACCACCCAGGGCCGGCGAAACGTATTGAAAGTGAACTAATGGTGACCTTTGGGTCAGGTGTCGTGTCTCGACCTAATTCCTAAGTCAAGCTGTTGCTTATTGTACAACTTGGACAGTGGCTGAAAAAATTTCTTTGATCAAATTCCCATTTTCACTTTTTTCTATATCTTTTATCATAAAGATATGGCATGACTGACAAATTTTGTCGTTTCAAAAATCGTGGTTTGTATGTAAGAATACTTTAAGAATATATTCAGGGACAAAGCTAAACATTTCTTAAAAATATTGATGCTGGAAAAATTTATAGTTTTCTTATAAAAAAGTGTAATGTCTTGTTATAAAAAAGCATTTCATTCAGTTTGCAAAAGAATTGAGCTGTATTCATGATCATAAGAAATGTTTGGAACTTCTAAACAAAAGGTTTTACATTTCAATTGGTCCCCTATCTATAGGCCTCATAAGCGTAGAAGACATAAGGGCTTGGAGAACTGCAACCACCCTCCCTTATAAGGCAAATTTTATCGCTCTTCAGACTCCATCCGTGCACTCAATGAAACAATGATAATCGGGCAGGATCTCTACTAAGCCCTCCTAAGCGTTTAGCATCCTCTACGCCCATGATAGACATGGAAATCACAATTTATATTTGTTGGTTTTCTTCAACAGCAGTATTTGCTTCATTCTTGGTCATCTTTGCAATCCAAAAAAGGAAGTCGAGTCTCTTTGTCATTACCCTGGGTACCAGACTCACTATATATGTCTGGTACCCAGGGTATTTGTCATTTGCAATTCTTTTAAGTTATTTATCAGCCACTGATCCATCTAATTTCTTTCACAAGGTCAGTAGTCGAAATGATGCAGTTCTTGCAGGTCGATTAATTGCATTTTCTTTAAATTAATAAAAACTTCGAATAAGAATTGCGTTGGCATAAACCTCCCACTCCAGAATCTTGGCGTTTTCCAATTAGATTTCCAAAGTCCTTGTTTACTCGCTTTTTTCTTTCACTTGACATCATTGCCGCCTTTGCTCACATCAAATTACCGCAGAACATAAACTCAATGTCAAAACCTTTTCGTTGAATAAACAATGATTTATTGCAAATGTGAAAATTGGAGATCAAAAATAAAGAAAATTTTTTATACATTAGAGAACTGAGCAAAAGTATAATTCATCAAGCTGGTCAATGGAAAGAGAATGCTAAAACTGTATTTGGAATACATCCACTTCTTTTAGTTTTTGATAAAGTTTTCTTTCTAGTTTGCATCTAGTTATACACAGATAAAGATGCATTTGTAGCTAAACGGTAGGATAACATACCAAGGTGGTCATTTTATATTAAATGGCGTTATTTCTAAAAAAGCAATGGCAGTGAATAATCAATACATACATCAATCGGCACGTCTCCGTCTATTGAATCCTGAAAATGATAATATCGTTGAAAATGAGAGAAGAGGTCACGTTAACACAAATTGAAAGAAAGGGCTACAAGGTAGTAGCGATTCAATTCAACTTCCATCCAGGAAACAAAAAAATGGGTCGCTAAAGTGCAGTCGTCCCGAAAGAAAGAAAATATTTTTTGCGACCTCATAAGCTTTTCACACTTGCGATGAAGATCTTTAGCATGGAATTTTCAGGGCTTATTAAGCAAGAATCAGTAAAATCATTTGAGCCTAGCAGAAATGTATCTGCTCCGAAAACACAGATTAGATAGAGCCATCGAGGCCTTCAAGAATCTATATCATCAATTCAATTTTGCCTTTTGCATGTAATCCTGAGCCTTTTGATTCTTTTAGCTACATCAGCGCAAATGAAATGCTTTTCAAATAAACCAATAATGCAAAATATCATTAAAAAGTTTTTCGTAGTCTCTAACGGAAAATGAGTTTCACTTTGTATATCATTCTTGAATCAATCTTGATAAGCTAGTAACTTATAGACTTTCAGCGAAGCCTCGTTTACGAATCCACTGTTCATTGGCTTCTTTTCTCTTGAAATAGCTGCGAAGAGCATGTTTGATATCTCACACTCGCACTGCTGTGATATCTTTACATTGTTTAAGATCTCCTTTTTAGTATTATGTTCCATAAATTCAACTTTTACTGAAAGATAAATGGCTTGTTTACAGAGTGGTGTTCACGCTACTGTGTCACAAAACTGTGAGTGATTTTGTGATAAGGAATTTATACCAAATCATCAGATATTTTTATAATTCAAAATGTGTGATCCAGGAAGTGTTTAATTTTTGTCACCATAGAAATAACTCAACAAGCAGATACATTAGCCTTTTGCGCTATAAATATATTCTGCATATTAATATACTATGCACCAAATGACGTCACAGAAAATAGCAAAGATGACCAACTAATTCTGACAACTCTCCTTACTCGGGGCCCTATTCCTTTGATACTAAAATGCTTTAAATAGTAAACTTCCTTGACATTCAATCTGACATAAGTCTACAACATCAATTATCGTTTTCCCTATCCAATTGAGAGGCAGTTGCCGAATTAGAGAACAAAAAACAAGGACAGGAATGTAGGAAAAATACACAGCCTTTTCGAAGGGAAACAAGCTTTAGGGGCAAGCCTTTGTTCAAGGGAGAAGCCAAATTTTTTTGGAAGGGTACAGAAATGACTTTTGCCAAAAAAGGGTGGGTCTCGCTCTTTAAGAGTGCGGTCACAAGATAAATAATCTTATATACTGCTTTATTTCAAATTCATACTTTAGTGTCATACTTTAATAGTTTAACTTCTACTGAAATGTTAATATGTTACAATTATTGCAAAAAGGTTACAATTATATTACAGTATGAGAAAAAATTCTTCTTCTACCCGGCAAAAACTATTTATGTGTCAACGGACAAAATGTTGGGGGATACAGCACCCCCTCCCCGCCCCTTATGGCGACGCTCCTGTTTATATAAAAGAAATGGACATTATCCTATTGTTTAAACCAATGGACAATCACTGGGGCTAGAGGGGAGTTCCCCCCTCAGGTTAGCATGTTAAACGAGTCCCTGGAAAGGCATATGCTATACTAGGGATAGTGAATGTCGTGGTTTAGACCATTAGGAGTGAGTGGTGAAGTTTATGTATCCACAGAACCTTTCTATCTTCCAAGCGAGCTCTTTCAAGATCTCCATTTACCTCAAAATAATTATTGGTACAGTCATCTACATTTTTATGAAAATAGCCGATTTACATTTAACCCTTCCTCCACTTTTTTTAGACAGCCCCCCCCTCCCACTTTTCTCAACGCTCTGCGGCACCTGCTTGCAGTTAACACCATGAAATAATTTATAACACTTTACTTTTTTGAATAACATTTCTTTGGTATCGCTGATGGGCTACATGCTTTTGGTATACGATTTTCGGAATGACTTTTTGGCATCATGAAGAACCTTTTATGGTGTCATGGCTTACACTTAAATCTTGGGTTAATTTTTTCTCACTTTAAGGCTAGACTGTTTTTAATTTTTTTATTAAATCATTAGAGATCAAGTTAAAGAAATTTGACAATACTTCGTTTTA